CGTTACGGTGGTGATATCACGGACTTGCGTGGTCAGATTGTTGGCCATGGCATTCACATTAACGGTCAATTCATGCCAAATGCCCTGAATGCCCTCGATCTTCGCCTGCCCACCTAACACACCCTCTGTACCAACCTCCCTGGCCACCTTGGACACCTCTTGACTGAAAACCTGCAACTGATCCATCATGGTATTGATCGTCTGCTTGAAGGTAGCGATGTCAGGTGACATCTCGAGGGGGTGCATGCGGGCCCGCTGTGAAAGATCGCCATGGGCGACCTGGGTAATGATCTCGCCGATCTCCCGCAGTTCTTTCTGAAATGCCTCATTGATGTGGATGTGTTTGAGAAGTTCCTTCCGAAGGTTTGAGCGTTCGTGTTCGATTTCCGCGATGAAAGAATGCGACTCGCGGCGGTAGATCAGTTCGTCGACGATGAGAGAGATAAATTCACGGGGAACGGAGACTTCTGGACTCTGCTGGTGCTGGAGAGCTGCTCGTGCTTGCATGAGATCTGCATCGCTCACCAGGGCTGGCCGAACGGTATCCACCATAGCAGCCATTGGGCGACAATCACGGTCAATTTTCGATTGAAATCAGCTCAAGGCTTTCTAGGTCGTGCAGTGACTCTAGAGGCAAGTTAGCAACAGACTGGGGTATCAGAGAGATTGTCATGAGCGTACGTATGGTGACCGGCGACCGAAGTGCCAACACGATGTGTTCCCCGCAAGCACCGTATGCATTCCCGATAGCCAAGTATTCCACGACGATAGCGAAATTCAGAAAGCGAATCCAAGTCAGGTGCAAAGATGCAAGGAAATGCAGGACCGGAATGCCGGAATGATCTGGTGACACGGGAGGGAAACTAGAAATAAGCGGAGTAGAGAGCCGTAGAGAGAGAGAGAGAGAGAGAGAGAGAGAAGTGAAGCGAAGAAAAGTAAGGTTCCAATGTTATTTGCTGTTCCCACCGCCTATATATTAGGCTTGGGCTAGATGTAATTTACTGCATATGTATATATTATTTATCCCTGTTAATGTCCATATGGTTGCATATATCATTCTCCAGTGCGCATCCAAAGTTGTGTTCCTTTCAGTCTAGACCCTCTATAGCTTAACCTGCACAAATAGCCGAGCCGAGTGGCCAATCGGTTTGGTTATAACTTTATATGTGCGCATATGGAATGTTTGTACGGAGTACTCGTATGGAGTACCCTTGACCGATATTAGAGTACATTGGAACTCTATAAAGAGGGGACATCGTTGATCCACAATCTAAGGTTGATAGCCCCGCGGGGGACCCTTGGAAACTAACCACAATCTAAAAAATTAAAACATAATTCAGTAGGCTGTATCAGATAGGACTTCATTGGAATACATGATATAGTACATTGGAACCGTTGTTTTTTTTTGTCAAGTCCCAGGTAGAGAGGAGAGGAGAGGAGAGAGAGAGAGATCAGAACAAGTCCAAAAGAATACAGGTATGGAAAGAAACATGGAAGCAAAAGATGAACACCAAATAGGGACACAAAGAAAAAACATTACACAAATATCCGAGTATCAGAACAGGCTACGATGCAAAGAGGAGCGCTCGAGGTAATTCTTCAAGGTGAGGGGGTCAAAGGCTTTAGAACATGCCACCGCCCATGCCACCCATACCGCCCATACCACCCATACCACCAGCGGGAGGAGCAGGGCCCTTCTCCTCGGGAGCATCGACAATGGCGACCTCGGTAGTACCGAGGAGGGAGGCGACACCGCTGGCGTCAACCAGAGCAGTGCGGACAACCTTGAGGGGGTCGACGATACCGGCGGCGATCATGTCGACGTACTGGCTGGTAGCACTGTCGTATCCGCGGTTGAAGTCCTTGGCGTACTCGTCGGTCAGCTTGCCGACAATGACAGAGCCCTCGAGACCGGCGTTCTCAACGATGGTGCGGGCAGGGCGGCAGATGGCGCTCTTGATGATGCTGACACCGAGCTGTTGATCGAAGTTGGCGGGCTTGACGCCACCAAGGCCGTTGGCAGAGGCCTTGAGCAGAGCGGTACCACCACCGGGGAGGATACCCTCCTCAACGGCAGCGCGGGTGGCGTTGAGGGCGTCCACAACACGGTCCTTCTTCTCACCGACCTCAACCTCGGAGGAACCACCGACCTTGATGACGGCGACACCACCGGAGAGCTTGGCGAGACGCTCCTGCAGCTTCTCCTTCTCGTACTCGGAGGTAGTGGGGTCAGCCATGACACCGCGGATCTGCTCGCAGCGCTGGGTGATGTTGTCCTTGCTACCCTCGCCGTTGAGGATAATGGTGTCCTCCTTGGTGATGGTGATGGCACCGGTGGAGCCGAGCATCTCGGGGCTGAGCTTCTCGAGCTTGATGTCGAGTTCATCGGTGAAGACAGTACCGTTGGTGAGAACTGCGAGATCACCCAGGATGCTCTTGCGGTTGTCACCGAAGCCGGGGGCCTTGACGGCAGCGACCTGGAGTTGACCACGGAGCTTGTTCAGAATGCAGACGGCGAGAGCCTCACCCTCAATGTCCTCGGCAATGATAACCAGAGGGCGGCGGAGAGTGGTGGAGGCCTCGAGGGCGGGGAGAATGTCCTGGACAGCGGAGATCTTCTTCTCGGAGAGCAGGATCAGGGGCTTCTCGAACTCGACCTTCTGGGACTTGGGGTCGGTGATGAAGTAGGGGGAAGTGTAGCCACGGTCGAAGCGCATACCCTCGGTGACCTCGAGCTCATCCTCCAGGGTCTTGCCCTCCTTGACAGTAATGACACCCTCCTTGCCAACACGCTCCATGGCGGTGGAGATGAGCTTGCCGACGTGGGTGTCGCCGTTGGCGGAGATAGTGGCGACCTGGGCGATCTCCTCGCCGGTGGTGATGGGGCGGGAGTTGGCCTGGAGGTATTCCACAGCAGCCTCAACGGCAGCCTGGATACCGCGGCGCAGATCCATGGGGTTGCAGCCGGCGGCAACGTTCTTGACGGTCTCGGAGAAGATGGCGCGGGAGAGGACAGTGGCGGTAGTGGTACCGTCACCAGCAACCTCGTTGGTCTTGGAGGCAACATCTTGGATGAGGCGGGCACCGAGGTTCTCGAACTTGTCCTGAAGCTGGATGGCCCGGGCGACACTTACACCGTCTGAAGAATGATTAGTCTTTTCCGAATCACCATGTGTTTGTCTTGGTGGCAATCTTACCCTTGGTGATCTTGGGGGAGCCGTAGGGGGAGTCGATCAGGACATTGCGACCCTTGGGACCGAGTGTGGAAGTGACAGCCTTAGCAAGAGTGTCAACACCCTTAAGAAGACTGGCACGGGCCTCGACGCCAAACTTGATCTCCTAGTTGCTGTTAGCATGGGGAATGATTGAACGCCTCGGAATGGGCGGAGCACGGGGGCAATGGAAGAGCAAGATGATGATGATGCAGGTAATTGCCAACCCAACGTACCTTGTGAGCAAAGCGCTGCTGCTGGAGGTTCAAAGTCGAGCGACAGAAAGGGGCACGCTTGGAAGCGGCCGAGAGGACGGAGGTCCGGGTAGAGAGAGCGCGCTGCATGGCTAGGAACAATGAGATTAAAAGAATTAAAAGAAGAGAAAAATACAACAACCCAGGAGAAATAAAGGGTTTGGAGGGGGGAAAAGAAAGAGATGGAGAAAGCTGGGGGAGAGATGAAGCCAAAGTCTCGAAAATTTTCCAAGCGCTTCCTTCATCCCCAGAGCTTGGCGGCAGAAACAGCTAGAACCGTCACGTGAGCCGGAAGAGCGGAGTTAAATCGGTTGTCGAAATATTGTAGATCTTAGTATTCCAAGGTTATTATATAGTATTATACAGTATTGTTAGGGTATTCTTTTCTGCAATATATTCTGGTTGAGAAGGTAAAACAACCTGCATTTTGATTGAAAAAAAAATATATATGATACATCTTGTCTGGCTTAGTGCTAGGTATGATGCTTGGTATGCCGCCGGGTATAGTGCCTCGGTTAGTGCCTGTTTAGTGCCGGCGTATAGTGCTGGGTATGGTACCTAAGTGCTACTTCATGAAATAAGGTGCCAGTATAGACAAAATAAATGCAAGAATACCAAACAAAACCGCAACCCATATAGTACAGTGCACCTAGAGCATTGTAATATTATCAATGTCCGAGTTGTTTCCTTCACGCCGTGCCCTTAGTTATGTACACACCCGCCACCATTGGCTAGCCCGATAACATAAACCTGTCGCAGTGAACCTAAGCCTGATCGCATAAAAGCGGCAAATTAGATAGGAAAGCCCTGCCTGCCGGGGGGAATCCGGTACATATAGATTCAAGCCGATAGATGTATTTATATGTCGGGAAGCTTCATATACCCGGATTCGGCTTTCGGCAAAACCCTATACATTGGCAAATTATTTCACTATTATTATCCTTTGCTTGTTTTTTCTACGTAGAGAGTTATCTACTTTGAATTGTATCTATATCGTCACCCTATCATAAATTCAATCCTACCCCCTTATATCAATGATTTGCTACTCAAATATTGTGGCAAAAGAGATACGCAAGTCCACATACGGTAATGGTCATAATGTGCGCTCCCTCTAAGCACTCTTACAATCAAATATCAATCCAGGGATATTGCAATAGTTCCCAAGTCACTATGGTCTGATCTCCCTATTGAATCACAATAAATTAGTGAGGATTCTCCCAGTGACCTAAAGAAAACATCCGAAAGGAATATTTTGCGATATGCTCTTATTAAAGTAACTAACTACTGAGCCCCCCTTAGAGGGCCAACGAGCAACGCATGAAAGAGGCGCTGGGGTGTCCGGATAAGACGTGACTCCATATCACGCAAGATCAATTATCCGGAGGTCCACCCGTTGACCAGGGGAGATGCTCACCCATCTCCCCCGATCAACCAGCAGGAAAAGCAAAAAACGAAGAAAATCATTAGGAAGCACCGGGGAAAATCATGGAACAGTATTAGCAGAACCAGGGATCATGACGAACGAGCCAGTAAATTAAAATTCCTTGACGTCCTCACCCTCATACCCAAGATACCGTGGTGGCTCGACTTCCGGAAGCTTATCAAACAATTCACTGTCGGATAGGAACTGGTTCTCAAACCCACTGGTCTCCAGGTAGCCGGTGATAGGGAAAGTGCCTTGACCGCTATACTGGTCCGCATATTGCATTTCGGGGGCCATGTCAAACCGCGAATAAGCCGCAGTCGCGTTTATTTCATCCAAAGCAGACACTCCAGCCGAGACAGGGCTTAGAGTAGCACCGAGAACAGCCTCGGAAGTTGCAGGGGAAAACCGGTTGACGTAGTCAAATGGACTTGGCCCATTCGAAGGGAATTGGATTGAAGCTCCACAGGTTGAGAATGGAGTAGGTGTCTGAGGAGAGAAAGCGGCACCAGAGTTGGCAGGCATATAAGGGTAGTAAGATGAACGAATGGGTACCATGTTGGTCACAACGCGCGGTGGGTTGGTTGGAGTGACAGGCTCGCGGGAAGTTGCAGAGTCACGAAGTTTGGCGTCAAGAATAGCCATGCGCACTGGATCCACCTGGAGCTTCACCATCTTTGACTTCTTGTTGGTTTGAGACTTCTTGGCAGCTTGGGTAGTAGACTCGCTGCTTTCAGTTGAGTTCTCGCTCTCAGAAGTAGTCGATTCGTCGTCATTCGCACGGTCATCGCCTTCGGTGAAGTCACGGAGCCACTCTGCTCCGACACAGACCAGCTTCTGAGAATCATCGCTGTCGGTTTCTTCGCGCTTGGTACGCAGCTTGGGGGCAACGAAGACCTTGTCCTTCTTCTTGTTCTTCTTGAACTGCTTCTTCTTGAGAGTGTACACGCTGTCTTCGGAATCCTCATCGGACGGATTACGGCGACAGCGCTTTCCATTGCGAGTGCTTGGCGCAGCGTCATCCTTTGCAGAAGGCATCACTTCCTTCTTGCCGTTTGTGTCGTTCTTGTGATAACCATTTCCTGCACGCTTCAGTGGAGGCGGGTTGGGCTTATCCTGCTCCTCCCGTTTGGTGCGCAGCTTCGACAAATGCTGGACGATTGCACCCTCCGTGAACTTCGTTCCCATGGCTTCTGCGACATCCTTCCAAGGAATCTTGAATCCGAGCTTATTGCATGCATACTGGATGGCCAGTAGAAGTCTAATATCGGTGTCCACTGTTCCAGTCAATTGTCAGCATAATTCAATGGCAAGTTTTCCACGTGAATGCAAGTCAGTATTCCAACAGTCTATATATCCATGGGTATTCGTGGATTTGACAACACCTCCATGAACTCCCAAATCAAAAGGAAAAAGAAATATGAAACAAGGTTGGGAATAAAAGGGAAACAGAAAAGAGAAAAGATCACATACCATCCCAACGAACAAGTGTACGTTGGCGCCGACTGCTGACTTGGCGCTTGCCCTGGCTCTCTTCCTCCTTGCGGGCGGCTTCTTCCTCCTTGCGAGCCTCCTCCTTGCGAGCTTCTTCAGCCTTGCGAGCCTCTTCCACCTTGTCCCGTTCGGCGATTTGCTTCCGGAGCTCTTCAAGCTCAGCAAGGTCTGCCTGGTGGTCGCGCTTGCGGCCGCTTGCTTTCTTCTTTGTCGGCATGTTGGAGGGATGTTCCCTTTATATCATCTGTACGACAATATCATTAGCAATTGTGTTCAAAGCAAACAAATTGAACCCAGGATGTTTGGATGGATAGTGCGTGAGACGGGTGGTTGGACATGATCAATGTGTCACGCATTGCTGCAAAACTCTGAAACAGAAATGAGAAAAGGTATTCGCGAATGCCTTTTTCTTCAGATTGGAAATAAATCGCAACAAACGACCGTAATGGACCAGGCCCAAGAAGCACACAATGTTCGCAATGTGGAATCGCTTTGAAGTATGCAGTTGGCTGGAGTTTCGCACCGGTCGCTGGCCAAACCAGGTATGTCTAGACAAAATGCAGAGAGCAACAAGGCTAACCATGAGTACAGTCTCTTAGGGCATTGCCCAAGGAAGCTGTTGAGATTGCCCATGTCCAGAACAATTGGTGTCCATGCTCCAATAATGTATGGTGCAATGTCAACATCCAGTGCCTTGAAAGGTATCAGACCAATGATAATCTGATGTAAGGGCCCCGCATCGCAATTTTCTCATCATTATGGACTTGTGCCACAGTTGCCAACAGGCCGTACAATTGGTATGAGCCTGGCAGATGTTGGACGTTGATGTGCAAACCCAATCCTCGGCAAGGTTCACTAGGTGCCACAGCAACCCAGATACCCCAAGCATTGGATGGAAGTGCGGGGACCCAACAGTCAACAGTGTGCCACAGGACCTTGTGCTGGTGATGCAGGTATGCAGGAGCTTCATGGTGGGAAGTGGGGATATGTCAGGGGAACCTATGAACCATCACCAGCGCAGAGCTGGGTCACTCACTTGGTGGATATGATAGAAAGGCACTATGGCTCCGAGATGCTTTGGTATTTAAGCACAGAAAGATGTTGAATGGTGTGGATGATGAAAGATGGATAGAGGTTGATGAGGCTGAAAGGTAAGTAAGAGAAGTGGTGACCGAAGGACGTGGTGGGGGATGGCAAATCTCCTTGAGCAACGGACTGCCTTCCATGCTTTTCCCGATCTGCCTTGGAGTGCTTGTTTGATACTTGCTTTCGAGGTCGACCTCACCTATTGTATGCGGGTGGTTGACGCAGATCGGAGCAACGTATAACCCGCACTACAAACAGGCAGATTCGATCTTGCCTTATACACAGCAAACCCTGCTGGTTGGAGCCTACGTTTCAGTGTACATGTGCTGACAACGCATCTGATCTAGCAATCGAGGCAGCTGGGGACGCATTGGGGATGCGAAACTTGTATCTGATACGGCGAGGATACGCGTTATTCTGCTCTTGTGACGAACGATCTATATAACTTCGCCGCAACGCTCCTACGCTCCACCAGCCTCGGAAAAAAGAAATTAAAATCACGGAGTGCAATTATTGACATGCCAATGGCACATACTAATTGCAATTTCACGAATTCAACCTGTGGGGCTGCAGAGCGTAGGGTGTCGCATTATGTGGTGTTCCTTGTATAAGGGATCTTGTCAAACGTAACGAACGACCTATATAACTTCGTTACAACGCTTCTACCCCCACGAGCCTCGAAAATACGAATGAAACGCCCTGAATGCAGTTACGGATGACCCAATGGCACATAGCAGTTAAAACCTGTTGAATTAAAGGTCGTGGATATGGAGAGCATAGTATGTCGCGTCGTATAGTGTTCTTCGCGCAAGAGATGTGGTCAAAATAGACGCCGGTCACGCAAACGCAAACGCGATATGCTTATCAATCTATACCGGATTAACATTTACCCACGGCCAAACCTTGTTCCATGATCACGTGCTTCTCAAGCACCAAACGTTCTAACCAAGCAAATCCACACCGCTGTGATAGTCACCGCCTTCCCAATATAGATTCCTTTACACGTGATCCTGACATCCCGATCCTCCGAAGTCGAACGCTTCCAAACTCACCCGAACCGTTTTCACCCCTTCAATCGAACCATACCTCCCACATTCTCTTCAAAATGACTGCTGCCTGGAAAGCCGCCGGTTTGACGTACGAATTCACGAATTGTCTTTAAAGCCAATGCTAACCCCGACCCCAGCTACAACCGTTACCTGGCCATCGCCGCCCGCACGGTGCGCCGTTCCTTGAAGGATGGCCCTCGCCTCGCCTCTGAGCGCCGCGGCCAGATGGACCTCCGTTTTGCCAAGTGGGAGGTTAGTGAACTTCCCGAGCTCTATGCTACATAATTTTGACTGATAACAATGTTCCGACAAACAGAACGGCAAGCAGGGTGATGTCAAGTCCCTTGCCCAGGCCAACAACGAGGCCCTTGCCAAGGCTGCTGAGAAATAAGCCTTCTTCGCCCATCACCTGAGAGAATCGAGCTTGGAGATATGCAGGGCCCGATTGTGACGGACTGGAGCGATTTTTTGGTCCGGGGGGGGAGGCATTGAAATGTACATGTGTAGCAATACCGGCCTGTCTGGTTGGGCAGAGCTTAGAAATCGCACTCGTCTTTGTTTTCACACCATGCTTAAGCTGTTAATTAAAACTGCCGTAAGAATTCTTATACTGCCCGGGCTTGGCCGGTCAGATGTTGCACGTCACCTCTAGGTCCCGGTTGCCAACTTCCCGACTCGCTTTTTCCTCCGCTCACATCCCCGCCTCCCCCTCGATTCGTCGATTTCTCAAAACACGTCCGACGGCACGATACTTGTTTGAGCACCTGTAACACAAACAGTACTGTGGGAACAACTTGTGATTCTTCGTGATGCTGCCGAATAATGAAGTTCGCGTTCCCCGTCCGCGGTTTGCGCAATCCGCACCCCGCGACATTACCGCTGAATTTACAATGGCCGCTTCCAGTAAGCGTATTGCCCCAGCAGCTTCGATCAAGCGTCTAACTATTTTCCCTTGTAGAACTAAACACAGGGCAGCTCGTGAAAGATGAGACGTTCACCCTGTTCGAGGCTGTGGGCGCATTGGAGGTGCGTCAGCTTCCTCACCCGATGTGAAACGTGCAACGAGAATTGCAGCTGACGACGATCAAACCCGCACAGATTATGGACTCGAAGATGGATAGCGGCTACATAGCCCCCGGAGAAAATCTTGCGCAGGCGCTAGAAGACGACTACGACGTACGGCGGCCGTTGACACCAGAGGAAGTCGTTGGCTTGATGGACCAGTTGCTGTGCCACGAGGTGGGAGATAATATCACATATATGGAGACACGCAGGTTGCTGATTTACTCGCAGGCGGCGTGGCATAAGGGACATCCTCTATCGCAGACCCTCTTCACGTCAATCTATCTCGATAAATTATTGTGGCCGGTGCCGAGGACCATGGACGATGCTCGATTTGACCGTGTACCAAGTGATGCTGTACCAAGTGATGCTCCATTGGTTAACCTCGTCTTAAGAGCTTATTGCCTTGCATTGGTCAAAGCTTGTGATTTTGTGCATCTCCGAGTGGCCACTGAATATTATTATGAGGTTAGAGGGCGGGCCCCCGAACTATTTCTTTGACTGACGCTAATACCATTTGCCAACTAGGAAGAGGATTTTGTCAGTCAATTATACAACCGCAATCTTCTGTCTGCCTTCGATATATCCCACTTCCACCGTCTGCTGGACCAGGCGGTTTCTTGGGTTGCGGAGCAGACTGATATTGACCAGAAGCTGAAAGATGCCATCCATTGCAGACTAGTGTTTCGGCATGAGTTTTTGTCCGCACTACAACAGGACGTTGAAGTTCTTGAAACCAGATCTACGGAAAACTTCGCCTCGTGTATAGCTCAACTTCAACCTCTGACGGAGACAGTCGCACTTGGAAAGCCCGTGCCAGATGCCTTCAGTTTGAAGATTCAGCGTAAGCTGGCTAGCACAGTACCGCCTCGTCCGATGGTTAATATTACCTCCGATGATGCGCTAGCACATCTGAAACGACTGTGCCAGGATGCGATAGACATGCAGCAGATGCTTGATTACACTGGTCCCAGCAATTTCAAGGTATGTACTCTTGAACTCGAGTCTAGTTTTGGTTCTGACTCGTAGTACAGACTGCTGTATGGACGTTGCTTTCTCGAAAACCACAACCGTCAATTTATATTCGTTGCCTACTCCAAGCATTGATTGTCAGCAACATGACGATCCTCGGCGCCGTACCAGTCAAGGAGTTTTTATACGATGAACTCGCGGAACTCGTCTTACCTGCCAATATTTTGCTGGAGTCTAACACTGATGAAGTAGAAGTGCCGTCCGATCCTCGGTTCCAGATTGCCCAAAAAATGGATGGTTTCATGAAGCGATTCGCCCAGGTTAGTGAAACTATAGATCATGACGCGACCCAATTGCTAACTTCCGCAGCCGTTTGTTGACACAGTGCGATGCGCTTGTCTGAACAGGTGTCGGATGCGCCGAACACTCTGCCATACCCTCGTCGATTGGGACAATCTGCAGATGGAGGTCAGTCTTGCCCTGTCCGTATTTGCTATGTGAGTGTTTATGCTGATCCAATGCAGGCAGAAGAAATTGATCTCGAGCTCCGCACTTTGAGTGCGGAACCGCCTCTGCAATTCCAAGGCGGCGAACCGACCTGGTCCTTCCCACTTAGTAGCTGGGCCTATCACCAGAAGCTCGTCCAGTTCCGACTCATTCTCCAGATGGGCTTTGAGTTGTCGATTTACTCCCCGGAAGAATTACCAGGAATGTACTGGTATTTATCTCATATTTGCTCTACACATCTCGGCCACATTGATCGCATTCGTACATTTACCGTGGCTGCACGAAAACGCGACTTGATGTCTACTGGCGACCGCTCTGGAAGCTCCTCTCAAAAGGCATCTGCGTTCCACCGATCATTCCACGCTCTGGAGAGGTTGACCACACATATCATTGCGGTGGATGCCTTTGCGATCGCTCTACATGCGTTGTACGTTGTACTGGCCCGGCACAAGGTGCTCCCGTCTGCCTCGTCTCCCCAGGCATATTCTACTGATCGACTCCGCTACGAAATTCGCATGAAACCGTTTATCCCCATCACATTGCCGGAGTTGGTCCCATACGATGAATACCAGCGCGAGGCAGGTCTCGAAGGTGATTCCGACGCCACCATTTTAGAGCGTGCCTCGAAGGCCATTACAGAAGCGCGCAAGGCATGGGAGGCAACCCTTGCCAATGGAGCATTCATTGAGGACCCGTCCACACCAAACCAACCGCCGCCTTCGGCCATTGAAGAGGATTGGAAGCGTGACGTGAAAAACACCATGCGTGCCTGCATTGGAACCAGCCTTGCTGTTGAGGCGGTCAAGAAAGCTCTCTCTGGTGCATCTTCTACTGAGGACAACCCTCTTAACTTGGAGGTGATTGTTCCTGAGGCTGGATCTAAGTCTCGTTGGCATGACTGGTGGGTAGTACCGCAGGTGTCCGAGAAGAAGTCCAAGGTGTGAAAGTTACGATATTTTCTGACACAGAGGTATACGTGTGTCTGGATTCCTTCAGCAACTACTGATGTATGAGTGATACCTTGTATGCGATAGAAATGATCATGAGTTTATATGACCCAGCGACCCTCTTGTGTAGAATATATAATGCCAATTAGTGCTCTATGCTTTTATATACATAGCGGAATACGTAGAGTAGATAATAAAATATGTATATATCTACTTATCTATTAATCCTCAAATAAGTCAATAACAAGTATTTAAAAAACAAAAGGTCGATCAAATCCACCAAATCAGGAATCAGGAATGAGCGCGTCTGTCACATAGGCGAACGGGAACATCCGTTATGAAATCATCTGCCACCTGGGCAACTTCACAATTTACACTCTTCTTCCACTTCAACCTTCCAAAGGTTGTGCTAATTAGTACCGATACCTTGGCATCCTATTCGAGACAGAAGCCTAGGCCTTTTCAGACTCGTCACATCTCATCACCAACCTTCCCCCTCGGCTCTTCCCAAAGTTTCTCTGTTTATTCGCAGGACAATCCGGGGCAGCTCACGGACCTCCGATGATAGGCACTGTTGGACGCATCAATCGCTTTCAGGGCTAGGCTTTTGTACTGATTCCTTATTGGTGTTATTCCAACTGGTCAGCACCAGTGAGAGCTGTCCATTTTCAGCCTTGGAACTCGATCTACGTCTTCCTATGCCGCTCCCTCTTATTGCCCGGTCGCCGCAGGCAGCCTCCCCCATCATTTCTCTGCTGTCGATCACAGGGATCCAGCTGTGAAGAAAAGAGTGTGTGAGAGAGAGAGAGTAAAAAAATTTCACATTATGCCAACTTACCCTATCCGTCGCCGCCCGCGCGAATGCAAAACCTGTCTACCTTGTCGAGCGAGCAAAGTCCGTTGCGATCGCAACGTCCCCTGCGGCAATTGCACTAAACGAAACTTCACTTGCTCCTACGGTCGTCCATCTTCTGTGAAACAACCCATTCCTACTACAGTCGCCACTGCCTCCTCCACCCCATTACAGCAACCCACCTTTGCCTCTCCCACGATCCTTCCATGTACCAGCTCAGCTCCTACAATCGATGGCTCATATGCAGCCGATCATCCATCGAGCGCCAGCGCCGATCCGGATTTACCGGATATAATTGATATCTCCCAGGCAGAATGGGATGAAATCAATACCAAGATGGTCGCAATGGAACAGATCCTCAGCAGTCTGCACTCGCTCTTCCAAACACACTCGACTCACAAGCCGCCAGAACCAGAACCCGTTGAACGAAAAGCTTCCACACGGTCGGAAGGTGTCTACGGGTCGAATGTCTTGAAGACGGGCGCGGTCCATCTCGGGGGGCGGTCAGCCCTGGTTGATATCCTGGATAAATCGAAGAGGTCGGAGGACACAGCGCAGGCGCTGCCTCAGGATGATCTTCTTGCTGAACTTGCTTTGGGGAATGAGTCGGCTGCATATCCCTTTGTGGATTTGTGGTCCTCTGACCCGTTCACATTCAATATTGCGGGTGTTTGTGCGGTTCTTCCAGAAGACGGACGGTGTTTGGAGTAAGTTGGAGATTCGCGGTGTTCTGTGATTGAAATCTAATTCCAATTGTCAGGTTCCTGGCGTTTTATCAAGATATAGGATCAGTTTTATACCCAGTCATTTCGGACATGCCACAATTAGAACGACAAACCAAACGACTTCTCGATAATCGACGACGAGCAGGAGGTCTCTATAAAGCCGACACTAACGGATTAGTGAAGCCGTTTGGCATGCCGTTGGCTTTTCTCAGTCTGCTTTTTGCGGTTCTTGCGTCGGGTTGTCAGTTGTCTGACATCCCGGAAACCGACCGTGAATTGACCTCGTGGGTATACAGTGCGTCGCATTCTAGAAATCTCGGGAGTGATGTACTGACTTTCTCCAGTTTCCTGTGCGTATCAATGTCTTCGGATGTTGAATTATGTATCGCAACCCACTGTAGAAGTAATTCAGATTCTTCTCATCATTAGCAATGTACTGTCATACAATATGAATGCAGGCGCCTCATATACTTTGCTTGGTGCGTATTGAGTGTGTCCAATGAGATGGTCGAGCTAACCGATATCAGGTATGACGGAGCGAATGTGTCTTGTTCTCGGGCTCCATGTTGAGTCGTCCGGGTTCTCACTTGCAGAACAGGAAGTGCGAAGGCGTGTCTGGTAGGTACCCCCCCCCCCTCTCTTTTGGTTGATCTCAAGCTCACATTTTTCAGGTGGACAATGGCCTTCCAGAACAGCCATTTCTCACTTGCCTATGACCGACCATCCATCACCATGGTCAGCCAACCCGAAATTCCATTCGACCCCAAATCAATGCCGGGCCATCGCTCATACTTTGAGACTCTCTGTCGCATTGTATCCTTGGCATTAGAAGTTTTGCGGTCGCGCATGTATCCCGGATCGTCCCAGGCACATATCCACGAGATCCGTGAGTATAAACAACAGATCCACCGCATTCTCGCTGAAGCGACTCCTCATCTACGGTATCGAGACAACTGTCGATCCCTGGCCGAGCATATTGAGCGTACCGAACTGCGCCTGCACTCCTCATATCTTCTCTCTGTGTTATGTCGTGTCTCGCTCGACCCACATTCCCATCTGGAGCCAGCCCGTCGCGCAATGATCCGCGAAGACTGTATCGGCAGCTTGATCAACACAATCGATGCGTTTGTCGAATTGCACGAGATCAATTCCCACTGCTCACGGTCCTGGATCAGCCTGCAGCGAACCATTGCCTCGGCTTTTTTGCTTGTCGCAAATGACGACAGTTCCCAGACCTGGCAGCTGATCGATAGGCTGGAGATGGTTCTGGCGGACCATGTCTATGCAGACGGTGACCTGGACCATAACAACCGCACCGACTCCGCCAAACATCTGTCTTCGTCCCTCCGTGCTCTGCGTGAAATTCGCGAGGCCTTCAGCGCTCGCACGGGTAGTTCAGCAGGACACCCGTCGAGCACAACGTATTCCCCCCTTGTGTTGCCTTCTCCTCCCTCTCTTGAACCTAGCCCCAACATGCCATCTACCACCAATGCAGGTCTGCAGCCGATGGAAGGTCTGAGCATGCGGAATATCCTCGGTCGTGTTTCGGATGTGATGTTGTTCCCCAGCATGAGTGGGGACCACCCAGCAGTGTAACCCTTCCACCTACTCTCGTTTTGTTTCCCAGTGCTGGCGTTTGAGGAACATGGAAGATCGAGAATATACAATCCCTTGGTGTTTCCTATAAGGTTAGCATCTTCTCCGCCATATACATACCCCTTCCCCATCCCGTGTGGAAGAATGATATTGCCATATATGAATACCTCCAAAATGTAAAGGAGGTGGACATTTGCACTGAGTCTTGTTAGGAGTAAAAAGTAGAAAGGAGAAGGTAGAAAGTAGAAAGTGAAAAGTGAAAAGTGAAAAATGGAAAGTCGAAACTTGATAGAATTCGGTAGATCTTAGATGGCCCCTAGTCCGAATGCCGGCAGTTTCACGTTTCAAGTGATTCGGCCGACCGATCAGATTTGGTAAGTACAAGTACTTAGTGTGTCTCCAATCAAAGCCAGATCTGATCCCTCAGCTTCTAACTCATCTTCAGAAGAAAAGGGTAAAAGGGAGGTGGAGTCCAAATGGCTGGCTGAGATTTGGAGATTCTGAGATTCTTGAGATTCGGCCGGCCGAGTTATCCCCGGCTGTTTAGTCTTTTTCTCTTTTTCTATTCGATTTATTGGTTTTACGGAACAGTCTATTTATTATTTATTCCCTATTTACAACACATTTGTACGGAGTAAGTATATTAGTTTTTACTGCGCTGCGATTTGTCACTGTATAGAGTATCGTCTGATGGTACTTATGGTTGATCCACTTAGAACCGTTTCGGAGCGAGAGCCTTGTCCAAAACCACGAGGTAAATGGGGACTATGGGGTGATGTGGAGGATCTAGGCTTACCAGGGCTGACTGCCTCGTATGACATTTGGATCCTTTTGATCCTTCTTATCTAGTGTCTCGGGTAATGGCGTGTTGTTTGACGGTAGCATGGCTCTTATTATCGGTCTGGGTTTAGATTTAGATTTAGATTCAGATTCAGATTCAGATTCAGTATCAAATCCAATGTGCGGTGTACATCGTAAAGTTCACTAATTAGTTATATATGTATGTAGTTACGGAGTACATATAGATTCCTTGTGGGTCATTTCAATATAGCATATCCATTTCTAGTCATCCGGGATTGCCGACATATATATTATATCTTTCGGATCCGTCCTCGGATATCTCGGCCTGAACCATTAGCATTACTTTCCAAGATCTTGATAATATATGAATGGTCGACTCTGTAATTAGTTCCTAGCAATCTAGAGTTACATATAATATATAATACACTCAAACACTGTATGATAGTTGTTTAGAACCCTTATTTTACTAGAAGCCCCCTGAGAGAACTGTAGATCATAGCTTAGGGAGGTCCCAACGGTGACTATTTCACCTTCAGAAAGTACTTAGTGATAGGAATCTTCGATATCTAAGTGGGTAAAGAGTACTCCACAGGTATGTTGATATATGTAAACTAAATGTGCTGCATATGAGTTCAACTGGCTTATGATAAACACATCGGCTTTCCTGGGTGAATAAGAACCAATATTGATTTTTGAGACCCCGATGAGCTAACGTACTAATAATGATGACATATGTGGCCATCTTGGGAAATCTGAAGGGTTTAATCAGTAATATCAGCAATTGAGTAAATCATGAAAGGAACCCTTGGGAGCTACTTTGATGCCCAACGCTTTACGAAGTACCAGCTCCCTTCTGGACTCGAGTTTGGAGAATCAGTCAAATGCCTAAAATGGATTATTATTCCAATCAATCCTTTTACTATCTAATAATCAAGAAAATGCGTACCGAAACACTTCTTTCCCAATTAACGTAATATATATCATTGTGGTTGCTCGCTCGTGTCACTTGCTATATACAATATAGTACTTTTTATCCAACGCTGTGACCCAATTTTGACTCAGTTGACCTGCATTAGCCTGGTCAGCACGAATACGATCATATCTCGAAGCACGACTTGGCCATTATCACAATGTTACATAGTTACGGGCCTGTATATTAATCAAACAAATGAGGCGAGGTAGAGACAAGTGCTGCATAGTGATGCGATCAACAGCTTTTGATTGGAATTAAAACCCGAGGCTCTGCAGATTTACCCAAAAAGAGATGTCTTGTTTTAATCTAGACAATAGGTCCTTGCGCAAATGCACCCATCTGCGTGGAGGTATGTGCGAGCATACCCTTTTTTACTCACCGCTACAGTGTACATTGTAGAAAGACCCGAGCAGTTTATCTTGTGATTCTCCCTTATTCTTCAGATCCATCATAATCCGAGACGACTTAATCTATGAAATATCTCGCTTGGAAGAAAATACGGAATAACAACTCCAATGCCATCATCAGAGGTCCCCTGCGCCGCATGCAAATGGGCCCCAGATCAGCAAAGATGCTGCGCCTACGAAAGTAGCGTGCGCCTCTTCCACGGAGCCCAAGGCTCGAAGCTACTGATCCCTCGGCTCAAAATTTCTTCTCAAAGAACGCGGGAAACATCCCCCTAGCCATGAGGTCATCAACACCCACTTCATCAAAGAGAATACCACCATCCCTGTCCCGACAACCGTGCAGGAGTGGACCGAGGGCGAAAAGTATTTCCAGGTCGTCGAGTGGGTGCCTGGGGTACCGTTAGAGGAGATCTGGTCGTCAATCCCCCAACCCGACCGGGAAAGACTCGCTCGTCAGACTGCGGAGTATCTGGGGCAGCTCCGCTCGTTCCTCTCTGCTAAGATCCAAAGTCTCCATAGCCAACCGGTTTGGTGTCCTCATCTCTTTCACAATGATGAATGTGGGGTTACACATGGGCCATTGAGCACGGCTGACGAGCTCTGGGATGTTTTGGCGAATTATCTAAGCGACAAAGTACCGGAAGTTGTAAGCTTGCTGCCCCGTTACCGCATCCCTTCTCCTCACCCGTGGACTTTTACCGACTTGACTAACTGCAATATTATCGTGGATCCAGCCAACTTTGAATTGAGAGCTGTGATTGATTGGGAGGGCTCGGGGTATTTACCTGTGTGGTGGGAGTTTCTGGGGGCTACCTTCGGGTTCGGTAAGGGTGACCTAGAATGGAAACGTCTGCTGGGAAACATGACCAATCAGAAAGAGGCTTGTACATGGTTTCTGGAATATAGGTCGTTTGAATCACGTTCGAATGATTTCGAAACGCGATTAAGGGTGCTAAAGGAATATGGCATTGAGGAAGATATAGAGATCTAGGTAGTACGGAGTATACAGTAAGAATAACCAAAGTCCAGGTACGGAATAGTTTAACAGATATCTGGAATGGAAAAAAAAGGAAGCAAATAGTAAACAGGGAATAAAAGATGACCACTCAAGCTTTCCAAGTCCAGACAATTGGCGATCTCAACTTCTTTCGTCTGGTCAAAGAGCCCTGGACAAAGTACGAGTTGCTGATTGTTTTTGTTTATACGATGTATACGTGAGATCTACTTAATTCTCATGAAAAACCTCCCACTGCTTGATAATTTCAAAATGTACACCAATTTAAACAAAACCAGAATCGAGAATAGGATATTCAAGTCTGATGTATGGGAATTGCGAAGCTTTTGGTGGAGATGATGAGCAGCGACACATGTCGTTCTTTTCCTCTTCGAGCATCAAGTCCGAACCTCCCCTCATTTTTCTTCCAATTTCTTCTCAATTTTTATTCTCAATTGATTCTTCTCCTATTTTGGATCAACCCCATCTAGCTTTATGCTTTATTATTGGCTTTGTTCCCTCATCTTGGCTAATTTGTGGGGAAGTTATACTGAATCCCCCGCTTTTGCCTTGGCCTTTCCCCCAGAAATCCCGCATCCGTCCGCAATACGCCACTTATACGCAGAAGCTTTATGGCTTTTCCTTAATAGATGCCCAGCCTTCCAGGAACGCTACCACATGTGCCTAGATGAACCTCGGGAGCGGAAATTTATTACTTTTACCCTGTTAAGTCGCGCTGATCCCTACCTGCTCCCCAGCGCGGCCCCCAGACGCGGCCGACGGCGAGCTGCTAGACTCTGCTATCGAGTGGAGTTGTTATGATAATTGCCCATCACTGCCCATCACATGGGAGGCTATCACTAGTCTACCTCGGTGTCGATCCCTATTTCCTCGGGGATGATGGAGCTACCTCGTACTCCGGACGGCGTACGGACTACGCCAAAAAGAAGTAAGTGCAATTGCGGCTAGCTAGGACCCTGTCTGCTGCACGACGATCAATGCCATCACAATGGAAATAAAGAGCAGGTTCCGTCCGGGGTTGAGTTTTTGAACCCTCCGAAGGCTCTTCCTGCTCAGCAACAAACCTTTGAACGACAGGTTTGGGGAATCGACGCCAATTCGACTGGCTAGACAAGAAATCAAATATAGAAACGATAGCCAGACCGGCCCATTCGACAACATGCGTCTTTTGCCAACGCTCACTACCGCGCTTTTGTTCGCAGTCAACGTGACAGGAAGTCCGGCCGTTGCTTCAGCCTCGGCGGAATCCGTCACCCCTGCCGCGAATATTGTAGAGGAGACCACCCCGGTAGCCTCAGCCACTCAAGCAAACAATGTCAACCAGGCCAATGCCGCCGCGGCTGCGAGTACTCCTGCCGCCAACACAGTCGAAGCCGTCAACACGCCTACTACTGCTGCTGCTGCCGTGGCTGCGAAGGATGAAGAGACTACTGCGGCTGCAGATACCGTTGACCCAACTACGGCTGACCCGAGTACGGCTAACCCCGTGGAATCAGCGGTCGGCGGCATAAAGACTGCTCTTGGCGCCAGTACGAAAGAATCAACCGAGTCCGCCGCTGAAACCGCTCCAACTGAAACTGCTGCTAAGTCGGCTGCTGAGACTAGCTCCGCTGCCGAGACTACTTCCTCCGCTGCCTCTGCTACAGGCACCTCGAGCACCAAGTCTAGCAGCTCCAGTAGCAGCTCTGATAGCAGCCCTGATATCGCGGCAGAAATGAAATCGGCATTATCGGGCCTGCTCGGTGGTAGTGGCAGTGGCGGCATTGGGGACCTTATCAGTGGCCTTGAAAGTTTGCTGAGCCCCAGCTTCTTGGGTAACTTCGCCGACACCTTCGAATATCTCTCCACCGGTCTAGCACCCCCGGTCGACAACCAGATCCGAACCTTGGTGGGCAATGCCAACGACCTCCTGACATCAAGCTTCATCAAGAAGACTGGCAGTCTCATTGACAATGCCAACAGCCTCTTGACCGAGGAGAACACCAAGGAGATTGGCACTCTCCTCCAAGTGGCCAACAAGCTGTTGTCCAGTCAATTTATCGACAAGGTGGATAGCCTCATCGACAACGCCAATAACCTTCTCACTGCCGGTTTCGTCAAGAAGACCAACAACATCATTGACAAGGCCAGCCCTCTTATCGACAAGGCTGGCCCTCTCATTGAGGATGCGGGCGGCCTACTTACCGAGAAGAATGTTCACGCGATTGAGTCACTCCTGACAAACGCCAACACGCTGCTCACCGCCACATTTATCAAGGAGACCGGCAACCTCATCGGCAAGGCCAGCCCTCTTATCGACGACGTCAGTGGTCTACTCACCGAGGGCAATGTCAAGGCGATCGAGTCACTCTTGGCTAATGCCAACAAGCTGCTCACGCCCAGCTTTATCTCGACTACCGGCAAGCTCATCCAGCAAGCCGGTCCTCTTATCAACCAGGCTAGCGGTCTTCTTACCGCGGGTAATGTTAAGGAGATTGAATCACTCCTGAACAATGCCAACACGCTGCTCACGCCCACCTTTATCTCGACTACGGGCAAACTTATCAAGCAGGCCGGTCCCCTTATTAGCCAGGCTAGCGGTCTCCTCACCGAGGACAATGTCAAGGAGATCGAGTCGCTCTTGGGCAATGCCAACAAGCTGCTCACGCCCAGCTTTATTTCGACTACTGGAACTCTCATCAAGCAGGCCGGTCCTCTCATCAAGCAGGCCGGTCCTCTCATCAAGCAGGCCGGTCCCCTCATTGACCAGGCTAGCGGTCTTCTCTCCGCGGGCAATGTCAAGGAGATCGAGACTCTCATCGGCAATGCCAACAGCCTGCTGACTACCAGCTTCGTCAACCAGACCACTAGCCTGATCGATGAAGCTAGTGAGCTCTTGAGTTCGGATACCATTGACAGCCTGAAGTCCCTCCTCGTTCAGCTCGCTCCTATCATTCCCGAGCTGAAGGGTCTGCTCAAGCCAGCCACTATTAAGGCAATCGAGAACGTGCTTAGCAACGCCAACAAGCTGCTCACGGACTCTTTCGTCAAGGACACCAACACCTTGGTCACCGAGGCTGTCGCCCTTCTCACTCCCGACTTGGTCAAGGCTCTGAAGTCGCTCCTCAGCGATCTCACTCCACTGATCCCCGAGTTGAAGTCACTGCTGACCAAGGACATGATCAATTCAATCGAGACTCTTCTAAACAACGCCGGAGACCTGCTCACGTCAGAATTGGTCAAGGACACCAAGAGCCTGGTCGGCGAGGCCGGCGACCTTCTTACTCCGGAGGTGGCCAATGGACTGAAGTCGATCCTAAAGGACGTCATTCCTCTGCTGCCAGAGCTCAAGTCCCTTCTGAACAAGAGCACCATCACCGCCATTGGTTCTCTCTTGTCCAACGCCAACACCCTATTGACTCCCAAGTTCGTCAACGAGACCATTGGTCTGGTCGACAGCGCCGACGACCTCCTGACTCCAACAATCGTCTCTGGACTGAAGGATCTGCTCGGCGATGTCGTCCCCCTGCTCCCCGATCTCAGAACGTCTCTGCTGAACACAACAATTATCACCGACCTGGGATACATCGTGACAAACGCTACCACTTTGCTCACGCCCGCCTTCGTCGGGGATACCACCGACCTCGTCGAGAACGCCGATGGCCTCCTCACCCCCAAGGTGGTCACCACTCTCAAGGAGATTCTTGGCTACGTGCCCGACTTGTTGCCCGAGGTGAAGAAGTTGCTCAAGCCTTCTGTTATTTCGGATGTTGGCGCACTCTTGGAGAACGCTCATGATCTCCTTACTCCTAAGTTCGTTAATGAGACGACGCTACTGATAGATGATGTTACAAGCTTCTTGCCTTTGGTTCAGGAATTGCTCAAGGCGCTGTGAGAAGTCTATGTTTTATGATTTTCTTATATTGATTGCAACGGACGCAATTATGATCTTTAATGTTCTCTAATGATAATTAACGTTGTCTTATATTTCCTCCATGGTAGTTGGTAGGGTGTTCATATAAGTTGGGATGTTATATGTATTGAACACTCCGATGTGTTTTTGGATGTACACGAAAGCGATGAAAGGCATGAACCGTACACAGGAGTTTTCTAAGTGACAATTACAGAAGTAAATCCACGAAGCACCTTCTATGAGAATACTCTTCAGCACAATCAATGGGCAGACAGTTCCCCCAGGAGGGTCTAAATTTGGTGTGTGCCGATCAGGCCCCCATCTTGGAAGCCTGCATTTGCCAAATCGATCAAGTCCTGAGATGATCATCTATCAAGCTGACAAGATCACGCGCAGGGAAACTCCAGAGCGAGGGATTAATTGATTAATAGGGACCCCGAATATACCCTGAATAACCCCACTTGTATGTTGTATTTAGTGGTGTCACAACAATCACAGAGTTTGTAACTCATCACCCTCAGAACGCCTATCTAACGTCAGCCTGATTTCCCAAACGGGAAATCCGCTAGTTTCACTATCGGGACTATCATGCATAACATCACCCTAGGTATGTATGTACTTGAACTAGATTTGAGTGGCCTAGAGAATATAGCAGGTATTATTTGTATTGAATGAAATCCATCTTTTCCCCACTAAGCATTCACCTCTCCCCAACCCAACTCAATCCCACTTACATCTACTATCCCTTTCCAACTCGCCATCATGGGTATACTATCCAAGTTCGTCACCTTCACCACCCTATTCGCCCTAGCAAACGCTTGGCTCCCGGAAGAGAACAAACCCGTGACCTCAAAAGATGGTACAAACCTCTTCAAATCCTCTAACGGAAAAATCCGCGGCGTAAATCTCGGCTCCCAATTCATTTTCGAACCTTGGATTGCCCATAATGCATGGAATGATATGGGCTGCAAGGGGCAGAAATCGGAATTCGATTGCGTTTCCTCATTGGGTCAAGACGCCGCGAACGCCGCTTTCGCCAAACACTGGGCGTCGTGGACTACGCAGGATGATATCGACGAGATCGTGAGCTATGGATTGAACACTATCCGCGTGCCGGTTGGGTATTGGTTGCGAGAGGACCTGGTTGATGTCGACAGCGAGCACTTTCCGCAGGGTGGACTTGAGTATGTGAAGAAATTGTGTGGGTGGGCTAGTGACAAGGGGTTGTATATTATTATGGATTTGCATGGTGCTCCTGGTGCGCAGACGGCGAAGAATTCGTTTACCGGTCAGTATGCTGCTAAGGCTGGGTTTTATACCGACGAGAACTATGAGCGGGCGCTTAAGTGGCTGGAGTGGATGGTTGAGCTCGTCTATCAGACTGATGAGATGAGGAATGTGGGGATGTTGGAGATTGTTAATGAGCCTGCTCGGAATGAGGAGATGGGTTCGTCTATGCGGTCGAAGTATTACCCAAAGGCTGTCGAGGTGAGGAATCCTTTTTGGTTTTGCTGAGTGGTTGTGGACTAATGGGTGAATATACAGCGTATCCGTGCCGCTGAGAAAAAGCTCTCCATCGATGCGAATGACTACCTCCATATTCAGGCAATGGATAAGTCCTGGGGCTCGGGCGATCCTAATGAGTATTTGGACGACTTGACTTACATGGCCTATGATGATCACCGCTATCTGAAATGGGATACTAGTGTTGAGCCCTCGCATGATAACTACATCAGCACATCCTGCACCGATAAGCGTGATAGTAACTCCCCTAACATCATTGGCGAATGGAGTCTCGCTGTGGCGGATGATGTCGCAAAGTCGTCGGATTGGGATCCCAGTTCGAATACCGAATTTTACGGGAGGTGGTTTGCCGCACAGGTTCATTCTTATGAACAGCAACAGGGGTGGGTCTTTTGGACTTGGAAAGCTCAGCTGAATGATTACCGGTGGTCTTACCAGGGTGAGTCCCTTTTGGGCCCTAGACAGTTGGAGGATGGTAGCTGACTTCTTGCAGATGCTGTTAAGGCTGGAGTTATCCCCAAGGATTTGAACAGCTTGCAGAATGTTTGCTGAGCTTGTCTCTCAAGTCAGCAGAGCTGTTAGTCAGTCTGTATATTATTAGCTGGGTTGAGATAACAGTATGAAATAAATCGCCCTGAATGGAATAATGCACAAATATGAATAAATCGGCTTGTTGATAGTGAGCGTCAGCGCTTGGATACATACACATGCTAGTGATAAGCGTATGGATAAGGAGAAGGATACCTTTAAAACCTAGGAAGTAGCTTCAGGAGTTGGGGTTGGCCACCATACCATGGCCCAAAGAGATACCCCTGGCCCGCTAGACTGAAGGCTTGCATCAGCAGCCACCTTGCCCTTCCCGAGCCGAATCTCTTCGACTTCCTCGAATCCCATCGATAGGTAGAGAGCCCGCGAGCCTGTAGTTGTTGCTTCGAGCCAGATTGGGAGATTCGCGGCTTGGGCGGTCTGCTGGTGATCCTGCATGATGGCTTTGGCGAGGCCTGGACATGTATTATTAGTAAGAGATGAAGTATCGTGGAGCCACGAATGGGGATGTCTGACCTTTTCCACGATGTTCGTGCTCGGTTCCGAGACTGAAGAGGTAGTAGTATCGGCTCTGTCCACGTAGACCCTTCCTCTTCGCGTTGTCAATCATGCCGGAGAATTCGAACCAAAGGCGCTAGGTAATTCGTTAGTTAGCAGTGTTCTGTGGGAGAATGTTGGGTTTCCGTATACCTTAACGCCTGCGAGTCCCATTTTCCATAGAACGCCCAGAAATCCAGCCCACAGAAGAGTCCAGACATTGTCAATGTATCCACCCGGTTGAATCACGACAGATGCAGATTTCCAGCCATCGGCTTCGGTGATCACTGCGCGATTAAGCAAGGCTGATTTGATGAGCGTTGCCCAGTATGTCGGCAGATAAGCCAACTTTTGTTGCTGAGACATGCCTAGAAGCATGTACGCGATGACGGGGTCCGTGTCAAAGACGCGACCGTTCAGTGCTGCAACCGATCCCAGCATATCTGTGATCATGTCAGTATCAATGTGATCATACTTGAGCTAGAAGATACTTACTGTGACGGCCATGTGTTATTGGGACTGATGCCACATCCATAGTGTTTGGTTTAGGTTAGAAGAAGGTTGCATGTGTACTGGATTGACACGTAATTGGCCAATTCAGGCGGTATTGAAGGCAGCCATAGGAAGAAGTCGCAGAGGTGCGCGACGAGCTTCGTCTTATAGTTTTGACATTGACGTCATGGGATGCTTATATAAGGAAGTCACGGGCTGGGGTTCCCCCGAGGACAAGTCCCAAGGCCGAGCAACTGACTTAGATTCACACACAGGTGACAACTATCATCATTAATTAATGTTCTCCTCTCAGTCAAGCTCGTCGTCATCTGCTTCCCTTGAGTCTGAATCGTTCAGCTCCGCTGTGGATACGTGTGGAGCATCTACGAATTTCAGGGATGCACTCGGCCCGCGACCGCTGTCAGAATTCGGGCCCGACATCATGATTCCTCGGGATATTGAAATTATTGGATTGCAGCTTCAAAGAAAGGCCTCGCAAGTTTATAGATGAATATGAACGACTGCGACCGGCATGCAAGACCGAGATGACTGCACATCCGCTGGCTGAGCTGGAACAACTGCTCCATTGGATGATTCAAATTCCTCCTCCTGGCGTATATTGTGACACCAGCAGATTCAGATTCTTGTTTATTGATGGCGCAGCAACATTTTAATTCACCAGAATCAGAACCATCATGTCAAGCGTACGATAAACCGAATGCTGGCAACCCGCAAGAGTCGCCGGAGTCGGAAGATTTCGGCGAATCAGATGCCTCAGAAGTGGTGTGCAGCCGTTCGAGGATGATCGTTCATTACTACGTTTATGAACTCGCTGGATTCACTGGATGCCAAAGACCTCAAAGACTCTCAAGACTTTGGAGGATCGACAGCCACCGAACATTACTCAACACCCCCAAAGCACCTTACTTGGACTTGAAAACCCACCACTCATTTAAGAACAACCGTCACTACAGACACTCATTGATAGAGCTTCCATTGAAGCAGGGTTTTTCGGCAATGCTGCCTCAAAATTTAAATTTCTTGTATAAACCAGCTTTTGCGTCATTTCAGTTCTCCGATGTGCCTCTCGACTTCATTCTTGGTCATCAGTTACAACCGGGAAAATTCTCCAGAGAAAAAAACGAAGCTAGAAGAAAACTTCAACAATCTGTGGATCATATCACCATGGAAACCAGCCGGCCTGAAGTGGAATAGCATCCACTTTATACCCAAATTGACAGTTTCGTGCTAAAGAACAAGCTCGACTAGCCATACAGAATTCAGCGATCCAATGTGAACCAGATTTTTGTTGAGCTAACGGGGTGGAGGCTTGGGCAATGTTTACAACCCCAGGACTAACTGCCAGTGTTGAAATCCTTTTTTTTTTTGCTTCTTTTTGAAGTCAGAGCCTCAATGTCACTCTTTGTCTTGGAATCCTCTGTGCCTGTCTTTCAATCCTGCGTCTGAATTTCTATGCCCTGGTAGCGTCATCGGACAAGGTATGCTCGTTGTTGTTGGGGCGCCTCCATCTCATACAATTGCTTCCGAAGTTGCCACAAACATCGCTGGTGCATACTTGCGAAAGAAATCTGGTATTATGGCTGGCCAAACAGCTCTCTCGGTTGCGGATGAGAATGCGGTTGTTGAGCGGGTGGAACGTTGGCTCAAACATGGGTTTTTCCCTTATCCCACATTGCCAAAGGATGTAGCCAATGCATATCTTCATAATAACCAGAACTACAACCAGAACAAACCAAACTTGAACGTCGGTTGGCAGAGGGGCTTCTTGGATCGGAATCAAGAACTTTCCGATGACTTAGCCGAAGAACGCGATACAATAAGGCTAAGAGGTATGCACGAAGACCGCAGGGCTTGGAAATTCTTCCACGCGTTCAAAGATGTCAAGCAGAAGTTTTCGGTTACCGACGACAACATCTACGCAATGGAAGATGCTGCATTCGTCACCACCATGTATCGAAAGTCGCCCGCTATGTTCGTTCGACCACTGAACCAATATCACAAGAGAGAAGAACGGGCATTCTCGTCTGTGATCCACTGTTGTTCAACGCGAGGGAAGCACCTGTCCCCATACATAGTCTGCAGGAGCCAGGATCCACCACAGACCAAAAACTTTGGTCAAATCAAAGTTTCCTCTACCCAATCAGGCTGGGCAGAGGCGACTCATGCACTTGACTGGGTGAAGACCGTTTTTGAGCCAGAGACTCGACCTCGAGGTCGGCGTCAAACATGGAGAATCCTGATGATTTCCCAACGATGTCGGATAGTCTACCCCGATTTCGAAAGTTTCTGCTGGGACCACAATATCGCCTGTATTGCTTTCCCCAAGAACGAGCAGAAGTTCTTCAACCCAATGGAAAACATCGCCTTTGGGCCTATGCAAAAAAGCTATACCGACTACATGAGAAAGAGATTTTCGGATAACAATGAAAATGCTACTACCCTGAATATGGCTGAGTTTGCAAGCTGGATCCATGGCGAGGTAGCTTCGTCTACACGAGTGAAAGAAGCAGCCGATGTTTGGCGTCAAAGCTGCCTTGTGCCTCTAGATGAAAATCGCCTTCGGAACTGCCTCCAAGGGAACCGAGCTACCGCCGCCCCAGAGGATAGAAGCTCCAATTTTGATAGCCGCTTCGATTCGGATGATAACGGCAGGAGAATGACAAGCCGACAGTCGCCACTTCGAACAAGCGTTCCTTTACCCGTCATCCCATCAACGGAGGCATTAAGCCGACACTCCACTCCCGAATATTCACCTCCTTCACCACGGCCATCACAAACCAGCCCAGAGAGCCAGGAGACCCAACAGAGTGACGATAGCTCCCAATCGGAGGAAGATGAATCAGACGGCGAGAATGAGACGTTCACCAATCATCATCCTATCACGCCATGCAGGACCCCTAGACTACCCAAGACTGCTCGGGCCAAAACTCCAGAGAGGAAACCATCTGATTCAGTGATGTCGTCTAAGAAACACCGGGACGTCTTGGATAAATGCATAGAAGGATCGCCTAAAACACAGAAGAGGTATCGCGATGATTTAATTCTCGATCGTGGGGATCTAGAGAAGGAGAATGCTCGCCTGAAAGAAAGGGTCGAGCTTTTGGAACAGTTTGCGCTTAAGAGACCGAGACTCGACTGATATGGCTTCATTTCCTTTCTATTGTTTCTTTCTCTACCATGTATTTAAAACACTCTCAGCGATTACGCTTACCTTTTTCTTTCGTATAAAATAGTTTCAGTTTCCTCAATTTCATATGTCCATGCCGGTACCGGGATCCAGAATACCGGAACCGCAACTACTTCGTTTGATATCAACTTTCTCTTTCCTTAAAATCTCTCCCTCTTTAACCCAAACCCATCCTTATTCAATCTCTGATTCTCCGAGCTCTCCAGTTCCACCACATATCCTCAACTACCCGAAAAGATGGCAACCGTTCTCCTCATCCTCGATGTCCAAAATGGGGTAATCGACCGCCTCGAGAACACCGAGCCCTACCTCGAACGCCTGGCATCAGCCGTTACTTCTGCCCGCAAGGCAAACGTGAAAATCGTCCACGTTGTCACTGCGTTCCGCCAAGGCTACCCAGAAAATAACGCAAAGAACTCATCTGTTCCTTCTGTCGTCGCACGCGGTGAATATCTCGAAGGCCACTCGTCTGTGCGAGTCCACTCAACCATCGCACCTGCATCTGGAGAAGTGGTCCTCACTAAGCGCCGTGTTTCAGCGTTCTTCGCCACGGAACTCGATATGCTTTTGCGCTGCGCAAATGCCGAGTCTATCGTTGTCGCGGGCTTGATCACCAGTGGAGCTGTGCTGTCTACTGTTCGTCAGGCAATGGATATGGACTACCGCATTACGGTCTTGGAGGATTGCTGCATGGATCGTGATGAGGGGCTGCACCGAATGTTGATGGAGAAGGTCTTCGCGCGCAAGACAGATGTTGTTTCGGCGAAGGAGTGGACCGAGAAGGTTTCCATCGTGGCAGAGCGCTAGATATGTCGTTCATTTTACGTCTACTGGCAGGTGCGATGTAACTTACTTTCAGTATGGGGACTAGTGGATCGACTTACTCGTTACGGACCGGTCCGATGGTGCCCATCGATCCAAGCACTCGATTTTAGCTACACTGTGGGAAACTCACTGTCTTAAATTATCATCGACACATTCAGCAGAAATACTACACATCGCCTGCGGGATGAGTGCGTAGGCATATATTGAATACTCAGTTCACCGCATCATGTCAAGGCGTATAATTAACCTTTCGAATAACTATAAAGAGGAAGAATAGCCCACACGATCCCAGCTTCGTAAAGCAAAATGGAACAACTGCATTTCCAGGTGACCAGGTCAAAGCTCATCAACATCGAAGCCAAGCCACGATGATGCACCAATCCCATGTCACCACGACGCCCTGCTTAGCGGCTGAGGGCTGTGCATAACAGGGATCAGACTATATTATCTTATCCTAAGGTGTATCACCATATTCTGGAAATTATTCTCATTCTCTTCTCTGCATCGTCTCAAGTATCTAAGATGACTTCTAATAACGAAATCTTTGCAAACGGTTATCCCTTTTACATCACCCCAGATCCATCGTCTGCGCAGAGGGCCGATGATCAACCCACTAATTGGTCAGTAGACTCAGCATTGGATCTGGTAGATTCGAGACCGGGTGTAATTGATCTCGATGGTATTATGACACGCTGTATACCAGACGATTCCTTCGCCCAGCATCTGGACCTCGGTTGGATTGTCGATGATTTAACTGAGATAGAGCAACTCGCAGACGCAGCTTCAAACCGAATCTCTTCATTGAACCACGCTCAACTATTGAAGGTCAAGTCCCAGCTTGAAGATGTCCAGAAAAAGGTGGATATGCGACTTCAAGAGACATTCCCACCGATCCATAAACTACAACCCACGCCCATGGCTTCAGTTGACCCTACACCTGCTGCCTTGGATGGATTTTGCTGTCCTATATGCGGGATAAATGTGAAGTCCAAGAAACTCTCTACCTTCGAACGACATCTCACCTCAGAGCATAGTGTTAAAAGGTGGGAATATCGTTGTCCTGAGCCCAATTGCACTGCGACTGCACCAGAACATGGTGAAATGAAAAATCATCTGCGCAATGTACACGAGCAAAGTCCTATCTCGCATCAGGTAGTGGATTACGGAGTCCAATTCGCATGCCCACCCTTTTGCAATATATGCTCCCAGGCCACTCCCAGATGGGTCGACTTTTGGAAGCATGCGAAGAACCACTATTGGATGCCGCTTACAAAAAACCATTTTTCGGATGAAGATAAAACGGTATCCACGACTCGCTCCGGAGTACAATATGGACAGAAGCGCAAACATGAAGATGAAAATACCCACACTTTACGTGAAGAGAAACATTCCAGGATGGACACAGCAAATGCTATATTGTTACATGGTGTTGATACGGCGCTGGATCAACCCTTCACTCCCAGTGAAACAAGACCACATGACCCCATGGTGCACCAACCAAAACAATTGTCGCTGTCTCAAGGCTCTGTATCCTCGGTTGAACACTCAATTGCAACAAATATCACAGCCCCCGAGTCCGAAGAAGACTCAATAGATGCAGGTCTAGCTGAGACAAAGAATATGGACCACATCTTGGACGCAGCTCGTTATTTCAGTGAACTGGACGAGCTAGAACTTCAAACCGCTCAGATGATGGATATGAAAAATGGCCCATCTATCAAGCTTGAATCGCTGCATGACTGTATTGAGTGCCTTGAGAATTGGCAAGCCGCGCTTGGATACCTACAGTCTGAAGGATTTTGTGGAACATCCATCAGCATTTTGATCGAAGACCAAGACCGGGATGGCGTTGCCAGTGCTGTCCATATATCACTGAGCCATGTTAGCGCTTTGTTTCGGACCATACTACTACCGTCCAACGAGGACGCATCGAAAGGCCTGATAGAGAACTGGATGCAAACTTTGCTCAATGTTGATGAGAACGCCCTCTCCGATTTTGATTCGGTGCAAATGCTTAGGTTCCTGTGTACAATTCTATCAACTGGGATTGTTTCATTCTCTGGGTCACACGTGTGTCGGTTTGATATTAATCTATGGGATAAAGAGATGGAAGAGATCCCCATCGGCTTTGAAGGATATGTATTCAAGCCACGAAAGCTGGCTTGCTTGGAAGACTTTATCGGTGGTCCTGCATGGGTTCTAGGGAAAGCCTCGGTTCCATCTGAGGCACTGAAGATGTCGCTTACTGTCCAGGATCTTCAAGAACTATGGGGACCAGTCTCGCTGGTGCAAGGTACTGCAAATGCCGCGCCAGTCATTCAAACCGAACGAGGGTTCATCATCCCACTTCTACGAGAGGCACAGTCTTCCTTATACTCAGGCTCATGTTCTGATGAGATTGAATGCCACTGAATGGAAGAAATCCCAGAGTACCTGTTCAATGAGATGCCCTACGAGGCAATTCTCGTTTCCAGTACATCGAGGATATTAATCGGCACAAGCACTGACGTTGGGGCTGGGCTGGTTATCAACGGAAAGTGCAAGTCGTCAATCTCGCTTATTGGACAACAGATCGCCTCTCGGCTCCAGTATCCCGGAACAAGCAGATCAAGATACGTAAGCGATGGGTACGATGTTCAGCTCGTCGGCGGGCAATACGTTACAGCCGGACTCATGAAGAAGTATAAGCGGATCCCAAAGCGCACACTCAAAGCAATGCTCATTGCAGACTCCACAAAGCCTGACACAAGGCTCGTGCCACTTCTAAATCTCCGCGTTGGATTGGAAGTAAGTGCATGTACCGGAAATGCCCAGCGTGTCACACTCTGGGACGCTCTCCGCTTCTCGCAAACAACAACCCACTCCACAGATGACACAATTTATTGTGCCCACAAGGTCGGCGACAAGGATTGTATCAGTTTATGCTGGAGCCGCTGGCAGTCATTGGACGAGATAGATTCTCTGGACCATATGCCCGGGCAAAACAAGCTTCTCACCGGGGCCGAAGCCCGCCGTGTGATCATAAACTCGATTCTCGCTCTCGAGCACTCGGGTGTCGACAGCGCAGGGAACCTTCAAGTATCCTGGCCCTTTAACAATAGCCCCCTCAATCTTTCTGTATCGCCATCTACACCGAAAGAGTCGCATAACTGGCTTCGGGTCGTCAAGGATACGCGGGACACGTCGAGCTTTGCGGTCTTCAGCCAAAGGTGTCTGGAGTTCCCCGAGAAAGGAATCATGCGGTCGTGCTCTGCGCCATGCAAGGAAGGGCATTCCAAGCCACTACAAACTACTCTCTTGACGCGTATTCTGACAACTACCGAACAAGGGTCGGTGTCTGGACTGCTGGTGGGGACCAAATTTCTAGTAGGAGAAGCACATTTGACGGTCACGAAGGCAGTACAGGACCAGTTGGCTATTATTGCTGCTGTCAGCATGAATCCTTTGAGTCCTCTGCGCTATCGACTCCGCGAGATTTTGCCAGATGGACGAGCCTTCGACTTTAAAGAGCACATCTGGCCTGATATCACAGGAGGCCTCTCAGTTCCGGTGTTCGTCTGCTGATCAAACTCGGGAAAATTCTGCCTTTTTCACGAGGTCCATAGCAAAAACTAAAAAGGCAGATAGTTCCTGGAAGCTCTTCACTGGTTATACAGAGTTCAAAAAACCTATCTTATTAGAGCTCTTGAAAGCTTTTAAATGACAGTCTCAGTTAGGAAGGTAGTGGATCTCCCTTGGTATTTCTCGGTATTTACTTAACACTTGTTGTGGGAAAAATACAGCCTATTTTACCACTAGACCATAACAAAAACCTCGGTTCCTGTTTAGGGCCTAGGGGGGCCATATCCCAGTCTGACACTTGTCAATATTGCGCAAGATAATTACCATACACGGGGGCCGTGAATGATAACGGGACAATGCAACACAAAACGTCTATTAAGAATTCGGGAGAAAATCCGGTCATTATTAAAACAGAACTCGGTGACTTGTACGAAAAGGGGGCGTACTAGCCAAAAAAAGGCATGGCTAAAATTGGAATTACCAATGACTCCGTCCTGTCCCCATTGTGGGGAGATATAGTCCTGGGTGGACGACTGTGAATACCAGACAGGCCAAAGCAACCATCCTGTAGTTGTCAGCAGTGCATAGGAGAGAGGGTTTCGTGTTCAACATACATTCCATCAAGAACCAAAAAATCCATTTCGCTCTGCATCAATTCGTTCCCCCATCCGCCCGCCATCTCAGGAAGGCTAGATCGAGTTAGTCATCACTTCATGTATTATATCGAACTGGAATAGCTTACCGATAAATGCATCGAATGAGAACTGTGATATAGGCGGCGAGCTCTGCAGCAAGTACTAAACAGACTTTTCGTTGAGGCTTTTCAGTCACAGCCTCTCCCTGCAAATCTTCGCGCAGATGCTTCCTAGATGCAATGAAGAAGTCTAACGCTAGGAACATCAGACCCGATGAATATCCAGGTGAAAAGCTTCGGGTTCATGCGCGAGTATTGGGTTCCAATATGGATGATTATGTGCTTAATGGTAAGATATATACCGGCGGCAATAAAGGTTGGAGCCAGAATCAGGCAGAAGATCTGTAGTCGAAACCCAGATGTTGACCATGGATTGTCATGCATCAGGATTCGTCCCATGTATCCCGCGGCTTCCATGAATGTCCCGATACCGAGGACTGCGAGGAAAGTCTATGTTCGTAAATATATCCCAAGACCTAGTTGACACACTCCAAGCAGGCCGAAATAAACTGTGAAAAAGATGTTGCCGCCGAGACTGGGATAGTAGCCGTATGTGGTTGCTTCGACGGGGCATTAGGCGGTAATTTCTGTGCAAATAGCCGACATTTCGAAGGGAACTGAGTATCCAAAATAAAAATTAGAAGAAGGTTCGCTCCCAAGAGTCCTCTAGGGGTGATATATGTCACAGTTGTTTTATTGATTTTGGCCTGTCTCGTTCCTCGTACTTCGTTCCTCGTTTATCGTTTATCGCTTACCGTTCACCGTTCACCGTTCCTCGTTCCCCACTCCCCATCTCTGCCAACCCCCGTATTGTCCCAACGCCCTCCAAATCTATGAGATCTAATCATGCCTCGTCGATTTCACAAGAAATCTAGATATGGGTGCAATCAATGCAAGGAGCGGCGTGTCAAGGTGGATCCATATCTGTCCGATGTCACCCGCCAGATGCTGACAACACACTAGTGTGACGAGACACGGCCCCTATGCAGTATATGTACTACTCGGGAACTACCCTGCATCTATAGTACACCATATCCTCAAAGACATTCCACAAATGTGGCCTCTTCGAAACCAGAACCGAAATCATCTGCCAAGTCGGTCTTTGGATCACCAAAATATGATGCCCGATATCTGCTGTTAATGCACAAATTCTCAACCGAAACATATAAAAGCATCTGCGGTGACCAATCCGACATGGAGGATTGGCAAATCCTCATTCCCAAGCTTGCCTTCGAGCATGAATTTCTATTGCATGGCATCTTTTCACTCGCCGCGCTCCACATGGTAACCACCACCACAGACCCAGAACAAGTTCTATCTTACCTAGACACCGCACTGGAGTGCAGTGAACTTGCATTTGCCCCTTTTAGGGGAGCCTTGGCCCACTTGGCTCCCCTCAACTGCGACGCTGTCTTTGCCCAATCCGCGATCGTTACTATCATTGGCATAGCACTCCCTCGGCTGAACGCTCAGCATCGCGGGGAACCCTTCAGCATGATCGAAACTATGATTACGGTTTTTGAGCTTCTCCAAGGGGCAAGTAAGATCTCACAAATTAGCAAACCATGGCGACAGGCAAGCATCTTTTTCAAATACGAGTGGAGGGGTAATCCTATGCTAGATCCTGAAATGGCTAATGCTATCGCGCAATTGCGAGCGCTGAATGGCTCAATCGAAAACACAGACTCGGTTCAACATATCATGAACGAAGAAGCTATCGACTCCTTAGAAGACTCCTTTGCCAAATTCACTCATGCGCCGCACCCTGCACCTATCTTGGCTTGGATCGCCTATGTCAAGAGGGAATTTGTGGATGGGCTGCGCGCACGTCAGCCACTCCAGTTGTTGATCCTCATGAATTGGGCAGTTCTATTAAATGAATTAGGGGCTCATTTCTGGTGGGCTAAGGGCTGCAGTGAGGAACTAGTCGCTGAGTTATTAAGTGAGCTGAAGGACCAGAATGAGAAGTGGAAATTGGCATTGCAGTGGCCGCAGCAAAAGGTCGGAATATGATAAATAGTAAACCAAATTGGCAAAGTCCCTATATCTACACCATACACTTCACTATGTCTCAACAAAATGTCGATTTCGAGACCTTCGATGGTCTTACTCTGCGAAGTCGAAGTCACATCGCGTCTAGTTGAGGACCGGGGTAAGCGTGACACAACCCCATGTGGCAGTTTTAGCTAATGTCCTGTAATTCAATGGCGTGAAAGATAATGTAGAGTCCAGCTCCGATTTACAGGTATCTGGCTGTGTCGGTGATGTTTGCGGTCCCGGGGTTGGATCAGCTTATCCCTGTTGTAGGACAACAGGAGATATTCCACAAGCTATCAGGCACTATGAACCAAATCCAGGTGGAATAAGGAATAGGCCATATGGATGTTCTTGAGGGAGAGCAGCAGAAGTTGGCGTTCATTCAGGGGGTTGTCCACGGGATTAATGAAAGTGGAGATCGAGGTTGAAGGGAAACTAATTTGATTGGTCCATGTGACTTTGGCTACCCATGGATATCCGAACGATAAACGATAAACGATAAACGATAAACGAGAGTATCCTGAGTGACAGGGACATTCTTCATTATTTTCACAATATTCTGCTATTTTTCCCCATTGCCTCTCACTCGGTAATTGTTCTAATTGCCTCAAAATCCTCTTGAAGGTCATTCTGAGGTCATGTGACTTTACCGTTTGCTCCCAGTACTTAAGTCCCTTGTACTGTAGATGGTTTCTTTCTTCTCCACGCAGCTTGGGATTTCTAGGGCATACTACGTTTCATTCTATATCTCCAGCTTTATCTCTAATAATCTTCATGGAAATGGACTCAGTCACGTCTCAGCAAGAGTCAAGCCCGAGCTCCCCAAACCCGATATCAAATACAACCTTGAATCGATCATTTTTGCAAACATTCACTATTCTTACTGCCCTATGTGCAGCAGTATTTCTAGCTGCTCTTGATGTCACTATTATTACAACAGCCTTGCCATCAATCACCGCATATTTTCAGTCTAGTTCCGCCTACACATGGATCGGCAGCTCCTACATCTTGGCTAATACGGCCACCGTTCCCGTCTGGGGTAAATTGTCAGATATCTGGGGCCGAAAGCCGTTGCTTCTAGCTGCGACGGTTATTTTTTTCGGCGGAAGTTTGATCTGTGCAGTCGGAGATACCATCGCACTATTCCTGTTTGGTCGGGCCGTGCAAGGGCTGGGAGCTGCTGGCTTGATCACACTCGTGAACATTTGTGTCAGTGATTTGTTTTCGCTCAGAGATCGCGGACTGTATTTTGGCCTCCTTTCTGTTGTATGGGCTCTCGCCAGTGGAGTAGGTCCAGTCCTCGGTGGGGTGTTCACTGAAAAGGCAAGGTGTGTATGCGCAATGCTTTCCTATCCCTGCCAATTCACAGCTCCAAAATACATAATTTACGTTCCATTGTTATTTTCTTGCTAAAGAAAAGGGGAGCCGACGGCATTTCCACTGTATCCACTTATCTCTTACATGTTATGTTGCATATCGCTGATTTCTTCTAGTTGGCGTTGGTGTTTTTGGATCAATCTCCCAATCACTGGACTAGTGTTCTTGTTCTTATGGTTTACTCTCAAGCTTGAGACACCTAATACTCCAATATGGAAAGGTCTGAAGGCTGTCGATTGGACGGGATGCTTATTCGTGATCGGTAGCACAATCATGCTCTTGTTGGGTCTCGACTTTGGGGGTGTCACGCGTCCTTGGGACTCTGCCACAGTGATATGTCTCCTCATCTTTGCCGGTGTGCTTCTGGGTTTGTTCGTTGTCAACGAATGGAAACTGGTCAAGTACCCCGTCATTCCTCTCGTCCTTTTTCATCATCGTTCCGGGATCGCTTCCTTCCTGGTCTGCTTTTGCCATGGGTACATCTTTATGGGCGAAGCCTATTATCTCCCCCTATACTTCCAGGCGGTCCTCGGCTCTAGCCCTATTATGTCCGGGGTTTACATTCTTCCGTTCGTCTTAGCTATCACCATCTCAGCTGCATTGAGTGGACTTTTTATCCAAAAGACAGGACTCTATATTCCAGCGATGTGGTTGGGGCTAACCACTATGACATTGGGGGTTGGTTTGCTGATCAACCTAGAGGTTACCGCCAACTGGGGGAAAATCATGGGGTTTCAGGTCATTGCCGGCAGCGGCATCGGTTTGAATTTTGAAGGGCCGTTGTTGGCTGTCCAAACAATTGTGGGGGCGGAGAATGCAGCCACTACTACTGCTACCATTGGATTCGTAAGGACCCTGTCCACCGCGATCTCGGTAGTTATTGGAACAGTCGTGTTCCAAAATCAGATGGCAAGAAAAGGAGCCCAATTGGTTTCATCCCTGGGAGGGCAACTGGCCAGTCAGATATCAGGAGGAGCAATGGCTAATATCGAGATCATTGATGCACTCCCCCTTGATCAAAAGCTCGTGGCACGACAGGCCATTTACGAGTCGTTACGAACGGTCTGGATTATGGTAAGCCTCACTTCATATCAGAAGGAACCTAATGCTGACTAGTATGTGCAGTATGTTGCATTTGCAGCCGTGGGTCTGGTAGCAGGGATATTCGTTGAGGGTCATCATCTTGATACGGAGCATAAGGCACCAGTGCTCGGTTTGCGAGATAACGACGAAAATTAACCCGTCCCAGAGGTTCCACAAACACCATCCAAGGACTTCGGATATATTAGGAGTGTTGCTTTAAGCAAACCGTAAATATTACGCCTTCGTCTTCGGAACGAGGTTTTAAATTGGTTGCTGGATTTCGATTTCTTATAAGGGCTAAACGGTATTTTGTTCTACTCATTATGATATCTCCAAGATCTGCTGCTTGCTGTATAGACGTTTGGAGGAGCAGTGACACTTTCCAAGAATGTACATTCAAATGAAATAACTTCGTTATATTTGGTTCTAAGCCAGACCATTTATTTACAGATTTTGGCCTCTACATCTCATTTCACATATAATATCTACAACTTCACCTGCACTTTCTCCTTAGGACCCGCACAACAAGCCGGCTCAGGGTGCAAAGTCGACTGGTTGAAAGACTGGCTCGAAGCCGGCACATCTAGTGCAGGGTTCTTAGTGAAGAATCCATCCGGCTTGAGCATCACGCTGACACGCTCCATGGGCATAACAGGGAAGTCCTCAATGCGAGGGTTATGAGTGAGGCCGAATGCTAAGAAAAGTTAGGTACTATTTCAGGAGGGTTTAGATGGGATAACATACTGTGCCAGAGAACAACGTCTTCGTTTTCGACTGCGTCGTGGCGTGCAGCCCACACTTCCACGCCTTCTGATTTCTTGCTCTGGTTTGTGAACTCGCCGGCGGCGAACAGCTCGTCATCTTGGTATTTAGTAACCCAGATAGGACGAGTCGCGAAGCGGGCGCGCTTCGAGCCGAATGAGTTCGGGTGTGCGAGGAGCATCTGACTTGGCATGGTTTGCAGCTTATAGGCGATGGGGTGGTGCGTGATAGGGTTGACGATAGAGTCGTTCCGGATCTTGAAGACGCGGTGACGGTCGACGCTGGTTGTTGCACTGCCACTGGACTTGATAATGTTTTTCTCTGTGGTGTACCCAACAAGCCATGGGTTGCTGGCATCCTCGGGCATGGGCACGCTGTCTTCGTAGTACACTGTGTTTTTGTAGCCGTCGATGGCAGGGTCGATACGGAGGGAGAACATGTGCTGGTGGAATGGGGCCATGACACCTGGTCCGACGTTCGTGCCCCATGGAACAGTTTCACCATTCTGGTTTTCGAATGGCACAGTTGATAGGATACCAGTTGCCCGGACCTCGAGCTCAATATTGGCTGCTTGGTCAAGGATAAAAGCGAAGATATATTCGTAGTTTGCAACTGTGCAGATCATCTGGACCACGAGCTGGCGGTTACGGACGACAGTCGCCGCACCCGTGCGGTAATTGGTGTGCTTGTGTTGTAAGCCATTATCCTGCTCGTGCATGCAGATGACATTCTTTAGTTGAATTGGTTCTCCCTGTGCATCCGTGCGATAACCATCGAAGTACTTGATGTGACCGAGACAGTCGCAGCCGAGACTCAGTTGGTTAGCTGTGATACCGAAGCCCACGTCACCAACGTCAAAGGCCTGTTTGCGGTGGTAGGGAGCACGGGGATCTAGAACAGATTAGATGTGTTGCCAAAAGGGAAGGTGTAGATCATACCGGCGTAGGGGACTGTCATCTCAGAGAACGACAGACGGTAGAAGGTGTTACGACCATCGTATGTCACATTGTGCAGCACCAAGCCCTCTCGATTGTTGAAGCCAACTCTGAAACGCCACTTCTGCCATGACACGGCATTGCCGATGACATTAAATGATGCTCCCTCTGGTTGCTGGACAATGTAAGGCTTAAGATCAGTGCGCAGAGGCTCATCCAGCAAATCATGTGCGTATTGCACAGTAGGCACCGGCTTCCAGGGCTGCGTCTCAGTGCTTTGACTATCGGCTCCGCCAGGCAGATAATCCATGCGGACTAGTTGGCGAGTGATACCATCAAACACCGGGGAGAATTTGCAAGGCAGGGAATACTGGTTGTTCTGGGGGTGGTCGGTGGCCACGATGTACATGTAGCACTGGAACAAACGCCGAGTTTCCTTGGCGTCCTCGGTGCCGTAGATCCACGGATCCAAGCAGACGGTGTGGCCAGCCGGAAGCTTCAACTTTTCAATTTCGGCCTTTACGGTTGGGTGGCTAAGACAGAGCTCCTCGATTTCCATCATCTCATCGACGTCTAGTGGACCCTGGACGTCCTTGGGCAGCTCTTTCGCTGATACGATGGACTTGGTTTCTGCGTTGATCAGAGCCTTGAAGAAAGACCCATTGTCCAATCGGTGGAAGAGCGCCATCAGCAAACGTGCCGGTTTAAGCGGGCGCACTTCACCTCGGCGTTCTGCCTCGAGAAATGGGACAACCTCATGCTTGGCGGGTTCCTGGAGATCGATGCGCTTGTAACGCAGCTTGGCACCGGGGAAAGCGGATTCCAGAACAGAGACCGCCAATTGGATCTCCCTAGGTGTGATAGGGTCAAAAGGGTGAAGGCTCGCCATTATGGATAATGTTTGGGGGGAGGATTATTTCTGCGAAGATGGGTAGGCGCCTTTATATTCGCACAAACCCTGGTTACAACATAGATATCCCCTTCCTTTCCCTTTTGAGTGAATCTTTCGCGCTGCTGTGGCGATCTAATTGGTCAGTTGCTCACGGCGCATCTTTTTCTAGAAATGGTTTAGCGCGCATGGATCCTTGATAAGCCGGACGTAATGTCCTTTATTGGCCATTGCGAGGGGCATTTGGAGAAGTTGAGTGTCTCCAACTTTGATGTGAATTACTGTACTCCGTACCGGGTTAGAGATGTGGGCTAATCAGGTGCACAATCAATTTTGTGGTGTTTAAATATTGATCTCTTTTTGACTTTGGCCTGATTTGTGCCTGATTTTTGCCTGATTCGCAGGGGCACATTGACCGCCCTTTATACCGCCTTTATGCAGTCTTGTACCCGAAGCTGTAACTATACACCCGGACGTTGTACAGTCTCAGGATAATACAGTAAGCTAAGGTCTCACTTTGCAGATACCCGCTTAAATGACCAACGAAATATACCATGCGGCTTGTTACATCCGTAAAATTTGAATATTTACTATCATCCCAGTGGTTCATAGCAAACGCTCTATTACGGGGCTTCTTGTTCAATGCTAGGGCTTCGATCGCCCGGTCAAACCATAGAATGGCTTCAAGTTAAATAAATGTCAAAATCTATAGGTAATCGTTCGCTACTGCCATTTTTCCTATAGAATTTGAGCCTTTGGGCACATTGATCCAGCCTGCTATCTACTATGACATTCAAAATGGGAATAAGCGCTTGACTGGGTGAATTTTAACTTAATTCATTTATCACTCTATATTGATAATTCTAGTATTTTAATCTTTCTGCTAGCTTAAAAATCGGGCCAAAAATGCTGAATCAGGCATCTACCTCGGGGCATCGTATACCGTATAAAGGGGAAATGCACAATTTACAGTCTTAAAATTTCTTTAACTGGCTTCTTGTCTAGTGATATCTAGGTGCTCAAATTCAAGATACCAGCCCCCACTCTTAACGTCGATACGATCGGACCTACGAATTACTATATCGGGCTAGCTTTACCACGTTCGGCCTAGATCCTAATATACTAGAGGCAACCTAACCTCCTAATCAGTCTCCTTTTAAGTTCCTTTCTACATTCTAAATTCCTTTCCTCATTCTAAAAAACACCCTAATTCACTAAGACTTCTCTAACTTCTCTAGTCTAGTAAGTCCCTAGGGCTTAGAATAGACCCCAAAAACCCCTCCGATCACTCCGTGGTATCGGCCCAGAAAGCACCAAACGTCAATCGTCGTGATTTACCGACTCTGGAGCGCTTTTTCGTTAAGATTGGCTTTTATGACGAAGCGGTCCTTAGGCTGCAAGATTTCTACACAACCCTCATATACTGGATTGCCTACTTATCTTATACATCTAGGTATATGATCACTCTCATTTCATCACCATATCTATTCGAATATCTGATATGCCATCTGTTTATGAAATGCGGTAACGATACTTGCCGGTCGTACCGTAGCACAGCGTCAAAGTGTATAGATATGATTTTAGTCCTGTACTTTGCCCGGCTATTTTATTTGGGCTGGGCGCGTAAGAGGCAACTAGCAGCTAAGGATAAAAGTGCTACTTCAAGCTAGAGGATGTCAGAGGCTAGGATCGAACAAAAAGGACCTGTTTATATGGACTAGATCGGACCAATTATGGGCAAAATTCCAATCCCACAATCACCAAAAGACAGGTTCGGGATATGGCTATTATGCTCAGTCACATCGATTCATGTTCATTCGGCCTTTTGAAATGCCTAGGTGCACTAGAGATCGAGTCAATGGCTCCTACAGAAAGCAGGCAATATGAGTATATCCTGGAGATACCAGAGGGACTCGAAAGACCCAGAACACTGAGACAAATCCTTTCCACAACCCCTAGTATCTCCTTAACCAAACGGTTAAAGCTCGCGAAGCAACTTACGAAATCAGTCATGTTTGTGCATACAATGGGGTTTGTCCATAAAGGGATTCAGCCTGAAACAGTTGTTGTTTTCGAGAAGGATCAAGAAAATGGAGATACTAGCATAGGCCCATCATTCCTGATTGGATTTGAAGGCCTTCGATATTAGATGGGATAGACTGATAAAGTGGGAGACTTGGAATGGCAAAAGAACCTTTACCGACACACTTGATTCCGTTATCGGAGAGACATACGCTGAGATTGTTCTTAAGTGTTTGCGTTGTCTTGATGAAGTGGATGGACGAGGTATTTTTGAGAAGTCTCAAGGTGATGACGAAATTCAAGACAACAATGGCATTGTGGTCGGTGTGCGGTACATCGAAAATGTGAGAGCCTTCAAAAGCCAAATACCAGATATTCCTGCCAGAGATGCTTACCGACTGTCACAGGTTCTCAAAATTGAAGAGCTCTCTTTTTAGATTGGGGATGGATACGCGGACCATCAAAGATTAGCCCTATGGGACGGAAAGTTCGAAAGGATAGTTAGTCACTACAGTGACGTGGAAATACATCATCTCCAGACCTGAGCTCCTAGGAACACCAGTAGGCAGTGCGGTTACCATCGGAGCAGGCGAAAGCTGGAAAGCAAGACGAGAGGTGAAGGGGCTGATCAGGGTTTAGCAACGGGGTGAGCGATCAGGTTGCTCACTGAGACCCCGTTGCTCACTGAGCAGCTCAGGGTGGCAGGGTGACTAACTCACGCTGGGATCCGGGAGCCGATCGCAACCCGAAGCGACAATGATTATTACAGCCACCAAATTAGCTCAAAGATATTTCAGCCATGCGAATTGGGCGGGTTAAGTTTGTTATAGTGTGGTAGAACGTATCGCTTGGAGAATTCATGAAAGATGAGCTTTTGGCACAGGGCCCCGGTGACCTGTGCTCTCTTCTTGTGGCTGCTGATGTTGTAGCGCAAGTCAGCACAGGCAATCGCCTATCTTCTTGATTTCAAACTTTCCAAAGCTCACATTTCTCAGGTAGCGAGTGAACTTTTCTCAGCAATAGAAAAGTTCTTGTTCGTTGTCGACCAGGATCGCGCGTTGCAAAAATCGTTACAGATGATATCAAGACTTCGAGATAATTTTCTGCTCGCATCAAGGTACGCGGTAATTGGCGCATTATGGTGGAGCTTGTTAGATACGTAGGTGATGAGACATCATTATAGTCGATTTCGCTATCTTCTTGTTTCCTTCGACCTTCGATAGGGAATTTAATGATATGTTGAACTCTATTCACTTGTGTTGTGCCAAGGCGGACCATGATGCCGTTGCAGTTCATGCGAAGGAAGCCGAAGATATCACAGATCGCATCAAGGCGTCAAAAGATATTCTACTGGCATTTATAATTGTTGGACGTCGTTCCCCAAAACCGAGTTGGAATGATTGGTACCCCCAACTTTCGACCCAGGAAACCTTGTCTTGTAGTTACAGAGAGAAGTTATATATAGCGCACTGGGTGGCGACTTGAGAGGCCAATCCGGAAACAGCAAAAATATAAAGGTAAATGAGGGTCACTGAGACACGCAACTCAGACCCCATTGCGCCCGGGGAGATATTGCCAAATTGTAGATATGAAGTGCTCACAGTTCTGAGACACAATCAGGTCGACGATACGAGGTAACAAAAATCCGGGGGTGGGGGATCGGCAAGTTCCGCAGTCACAGGGTCTCTGGGACCGAGATATCCGATTTATATTAATATCGATGATGCATTGATTGTGTACTATAGCTGTGTTAAGAATATCCCAGAATAACTCTAGGTAAATTATGTATACCCTAGGCAATAAGCATTAAGTATCCATGAGTGCATTCGACAAAATCACTCATATGCCTGCCGTAAACACAATGTGCAAGATAACTCCTAACGTGTGCACCATGGCATCAAATGCACCATAATGCCTTTACGAAATAGAATTTTGGACCTTGGGTCATCCAAAACATATGATCTAAGTCTTCTCATTCATTCCAAGGTTCTCTCCGTTTACCCTAGTGGCTATGCTCTAGGTAGTAAACATCCCAACGCCACTATCCGATCAACCATGGAAAAGAATATCTCGTCTAAGATTAGAAACTAATGTTGTGGTCATACAGTCTTGTCTCATAGGTATAGGAAATATAGAGAAAAAGGTATATAAAGCCCCTCGGTATCTCATTGATTATTTGTATCGATACAACAAACACAACCTTCTACTACAATCTCAACAATCTTGAATCTTCCAATTATCCTTCATCTGAAAATGAGGTCATCTACCATTTTCGGTCTCTTTTTTGCCTATGCAGCTACTGCTAGTGCAGTTCCTGTGAAACAAAGGAACCAGGAAGTTGAGATCACCTTCGTTGGCGCCGCCGACGCTCAGTTCACTCAAAGCATCCCTACTGACGGGTCCGTTGTCTCCATTGGTACGTTTCTTGGTATATTATGCATCTGGACTGAACCTATTCTAACATTCTTTAGAAAACCCATTGAGTATCTCGCATATCTCGTCCCACACTGCCGGGGTTCAGTGTACCTTCAACGGCATTGATCACAGCGTGACAGTCGTCAATGGAGTCCAATGGGTAGATGTTGGCCCTCCTCAGACCCAGGTGACTGGATCTTGCCAGGTCCAGGGATCGGATTCATCCCCTGCACCCCCTGCACCTGGTGGCACCAATCCTGATCCTACTGGGGATCAAGTGCATGTCACCTTCATTGGAGCTGCCGACGCTCAGTTTACCCAGAGTTTCCCGTCCAGTGGTGAATGGGTTCAAATTAGTATGTCCATCTATAAATTCCGCAATGTGCAAACGAAGACACTAATTTGTATAGCGAACCCTCTGAGCGTCTCCCACATTCAAACCGGCACTGAGGGTGTTACTTGCATTTTCAACGGCGTTGACAACAGTGTCACCACTGTCATTGGTACCCAATTGGTCGATGTCGGACCCCCACAGACCCAGGTCTCGGGTTCCTGTACATGACGGTCTCTCCGGAAGGGCGACAGGAAGTGGGATTGTAAGTCTTGTGTTGAAAGGAAAACAAAGAAACTAGAAAGATAAGTGCTCGATAGTATGTTCTGGTCTGTTTATTATCCCTGGGGGGGGGGTTGTTATTTTTATTGGAGGACTAGCCCATAATACTTTGTTGATATACAATCCTTTGTAGCATTTCTCCCCCATACACTCATTGAAATATATGTTGTCGATTTAATCCCTTCACTGATACAACCGCAATTCCAACATTGACCAAGCCACTTAAACAAAATAATCTATATCATATTGCAATAACCTTGGATCCTGTTTCACTCGGGGGAAATAAAAGGGACGGACGTGATTGAGGGCCGGAATGCGACGCGAGGGGCTACATCGGCCAGATCTACCAACGTAGACGCACTGAACATTATTTCCCTGAGTGGTACTCTTATTTTCTTTGTTTTCTTCGGATTTTCTAGCGGATATCTAGTTCTTCATACATGCTACATTGGTTTGTATTTAATTGCCCAAAAATGTAGGCTGATTCAAAGCCTTCCAAGGGACGGCCAAGGAACCCCGGAATTCAGGGCTGCTACTGTCCCCTTCGAGCCCTTCAATGGCCAAGCGCGCGATGGCATTCCAGATAAACAGTACAGACCTTTTCCTTTCTCAAAGGGCCGTATAAAACCAAGTCCCCTCCCCAGATTGCGCGTGTACTTGACAACTACGACAACCGCCAACACCGCGCCATCGACATGGGTTCGATCAACTGAGGGCGTCTTTTAATTTTAATTTTTTTTTTTGGAATATAAACCTATTGACGCCTTAATCAATCGAGTTAATTATCGACTTAATATACTACGGAGCTATTGCCGATCACAACTTTCTGTATTTTGCAATGGGGCGCATGTTTATATCCGTCCTTGTCGCGGGCTTGGTTGGGTATGCCTTTGCTGGCATGCACCATCCTGCCCATGGACATCGCCATCGCCACTTGATGCCACGTATCGAAGACTTGGAGCTGCGAAACCTGGCCTGGGATAACGTGAATAACACCCCAGATGATTTTGTGGTGGAAGTCATTACCCTCACGACCACCACAACCGTTCTTGGAAACTGCGCGCCAACCAATCCCATTCACTCTACCCTTACGCTTGTCAGACATAGGCCTGAGCCTACGCCGTGCGCACACGACCATGCCGTGCACAGCCTCGCGCGTCCCGAGGCATACGAGGAGCACTGGCATCAACGGGAACAACGGCCTGAGCGTATTGTCCCTGCGCCGACAAACACAAGGCCCGATCAGCCTCAATTCACTCAACCCAATCCCTCAGCCCCCAGTCCAACGCAGCCAGAGGCAATTACCACTATGTTCGTGACACAAACAATCATTAAAACCGCAATGAATACAGTAAAGATCACCGTCTACCCAGGGGCCAGCCCTGTGCCACTTGCAAACTCATACACCGGGATTCCCTCAAAGGCCGAAAAAACCGCGGCTGCAGATACACTTCCAAAGGGCTCTTTGGAAGAAGAGAACGCCGTCCCAGCAAAGCGCCCATCTCCACCGCCTCACAACAAAAGCAACGGCGGACCCATCAACTCCGTACTCGATTCGCCGAGCGAAGTCCTCCCTGATCTCCCAGTAGTCGACCAGATCCTCCCAGGCCCAAAGTCAGACGCCCCCACCTCAGTAGACTGGACCGCAACACCACCGAAAGGCCAGTTCTCAACAAACAAATTCGGAGGACGTACTCAGCCGAAAGGCAAAGGTACGGAGATCCAGTACCAGGGAAATGTCGGCAATCCTTGGGGAAGCAATATCATCAATGTCAGTCCGACCGAGGCACACACCTACAAATATGTGGCGCAGTTCACTGGTTCAAATGATAAGCCCTGGACGGTGGTTGTGTGGAACAAAATCGGGCCCGACGGAAAATTGACCGGATGGTATGGCAACTCTGCTCTGACGTTCACTCTTGCACCTGGTGAGACTCGCTATGTTGCTTTTGATGAGGACTCCGAGGGCGCTTGGGGGGCTGCACCTGGTGATCACTTGCCTAAGGATCAATGGGGTGGATACTCGTGCACATGGGGCGAGTTTGGGTTCGGTGATGGTGAGAATAATGGCTGGTCGGGATGGGATGTTTCGGCTATTCAGGCGCAGATTGCCAATCAACCTGTTCAGGGAATGTCTATCTGTCAGGCTGATGGGAAGGGATGCTCTATCATCACACCTGATGCTAAAAAGGTGGTTGATGCCTATGTCAAGTCAAAGAAACACCTGGATGGTATTGGTGGTGCGGCGTCTCCTGGTCCTGTGCGGTTGAAAGTGGTGCTTGATTATCGGGGGTGAGGATGAACTTTGTATATACAAGTGAATTTTGCCATTATAAAAACAATTAATTCGTTCAACAATTGACGAGGTTTCCCAGCTACCCTACATACTTTGTAGGAAAAAGGTATATCAGCACATCATACACACACTTCAACCCTCCATGCTCCCAACCTCATTTAATGCATTGAAGGAATGTCAATCTCCTTGATAGTCCACACCTTTCCACCCTCGCTAGAAGTAACCTCGGTATAAGTAGCCCCACCGGCGCTAGAAATAGTCGAACCAAAGGTGGTATCAGCCGACGCGAGAGTGATAACAGTGTTCAAGTATTTCTGCGCAGCGATAGTTCCTGAGCAGTTGTCATTACACTCAGTTCCGGTACCGTAGCTAACCAAAGTCAGTATAGTCCTTAATAAATACAGTTCTGGCCCTTGACTTACCCTCGCATATAGGGTCCAGATTCGTGGGAGTAAGTTGAAAGCACGGCACCAGTCTCGCCATTTGTGACAGTCCTGCAAATGTTAGTTGGGATGTATTTCTCCATCTTGGATCTATACGTACTGGGTCCAGGTCTGGCCATCGGACTCAAGGTCGTACTCAATTCGCACTTCGTCGGTTCCGCTCACGGGTGATCCAGTGCCATCCAGCTGGCCGAAGCTGCCGAAGACACTGGCACGCACACACCACTGTCCAGTGGTTGCTCCACACCACGCGTTGCTAGACCAGCTCTCAAGAGTGGTCTGGACCAGGTCGCCGGTTCCGTTGGACATCTAAGGTTGTTAGTGACTAGAAGACCCGTCAGAAGAATCGAGGACTTACCCCAGGCCAGAGGAACAGCACGCCGTTCTGAGTCGCTGGGGCAGGTCCGGGGATCAAAGTCGTGACGGCATTGATAATGGTCGACTTGGAGGGACCAAGCGAGACACTCCCACCCCAGTAGTCATCTCTCTTGACAACAGTCTCTAGAAGGCCTGCGCTGGCAAGGCCAGCGGCAGCGAGGAAAGGTACGATGAAGCGCATCGTGATAATGATGAGGTAGAAGAGTTGGCCAGTTTGAATTCACATCGACATTAACAGCCCTTACATTTATAGTTCCCCCCGGCAAGATTTCGGCCATGCCTGCCAGTGGAGTGGTGGAACTGACCAAAAGCGGAGCACCTCCCGAAACTCCTCAGGGCTGGATGTTTCACATTAAAACAAGCCCAACACTAGGCTAACAAGTAAAAGTGGACAACCGCAATGCATAAGACCTTGTCATTGACGCATTAATTTTTGTCAGATAGTCAAGTCCGAAGCCCCACATAGGGACTTTTTATTCACCTGACAGGCAGTGACGCTAGCCAGTATTCGAGTTAAACTACAACAAGTAATGCAATATGAGAAGGCGAATACGCATACTCCGTATGGCTGTTTTGTGTTTCAATTCACGTACAAATATTTGCCCGAAATGCCGATATATTGAAGCTAGACCCTGTGGATATCTCATTCCAAATATTCACCCTTACTCTCGGCGTGGATCACATCAAACAGGGGCTTCGCGCTAAACCAGCCAGCCATTGGAGTTCCCACTGTTTTGTAAGTGAATGCCGCATCGGCTTCTTCAATTTTCACTGTTTGGCCGCCTCGTCCGGTGGCTGCGGCGTCCGCTAGGAGTTGAGCGTAGCAGCATTTTTCCAGACTCACGAACCAGAACACTGTTTCTTCAATTGTGTTACCGACCGTCAAGAGGCCGTGGTTTTGCAACAGGGCAGCCTTTTTGTTACCCAGAGCTTTGGCAATGTTCTGGCCTTCTTCTTCCGCTAGCACGACGCCTTTGAATGATGAATAGAGAGCCAAGTCCTGATCCTGTTAGGAGGAGGCCCGCACGTAGAAGTATTAAAAGAGTCTAGGGGGGCGTACATTGTGGAAAGCACAGGCATCTTGCGAGATGATATCGAGCGGTCGGCCCAGCGAGCAAAACGCCCGTCCATGGAGACTATGACTGTGCGCAGCGCAGTTCACTTCGGGTCGTGCTTCATGGATGGCGGAATGAATCATAAATGCAGCGGCATTCAGCAATCGATTCTCTCCACCTGCAATGACATTTCCATGGTGATCGACTTGGATCAAGTCTGATGCCTTCATCAGCTTGAATGCTGTGCCGAATGGGTTCACCCAGAACGTTGTCGGATCCACCGGATCGCGTAGGGTGATGTGCCCAGCGACACCTAATGAAAATGTTAGTTGTTAACCACAGTGTTTCGCTGTTGGACATGCATAGGACCATGCATACCCTCGTCGTATCCTTTATCACCAAATATTCTGAATGCTGCTGCTAGGCGGCCCTTCAAATACTCTCGCTCCTTCATTTTATCCTCGAATGCTGGCATGCTAGGCAGCGGCATTTTGACCTTGGCCTTTTCGGCACCCTCCGCTTGGGAAGACTGTGGTGCTTGCATGCTGATGGCATTGGCGAGGGTCTCGGTGGCAGTTGGAGGAGCCATGTTAAGTTGTTGTGTGTATTGAGGATTGTCGAGACACACAGGAATTATATATGATCTTCGAAAGACATATAAAGCGGAGAAAAGTCCGAAGCGGGGGCGTTGATTATCAACAAGGTTGGACTGGCCGACGAGCCGAGGTTGGTTCTCCGCAAACGGATATCGCATGAAATCGCCTCTCGAGGGGTGATAAGGTGACACTTGAGGGTGGTTGAGGTTGAACAGCACACGTTGAATAGTATTGAAACAGAAATAGCTAATGTAAAACCGAAAGCACCCAAATCGAATCGCTGAACACAAGTATAACACTTTCAATCATCAATGCATCAAGTCGTGATAGTTACCTCCAGGGCTGGAAAGACCCTTTCGTTACGTGTTCCTCCAATCATAATATCTAGTTTGGGGATCTTTATAGCGGAAATGGAGGTGCCCGCTGAACCTCCGCCATCAATGCCTCGAACAGTTTACGGTCAGATGGGTTGAAGTTTTGGCTGATTGTCGCATGGTGGTGCGGAGATCCAACCAATGGCTTCAAATCGGCTTGGCAAAGAGTTCCTACCACTGGTAATGTGCCAGTTTGGAAGTAATGGCGAATGGCCTTCGCCACGCATATGGATGGGGCTGTGAGTGTGGTGTGCTAGATGAAATATGTCAGGGATAAAGCGCTGGAGAGATTACCGCGAGTAACTCACTCCTTCTGATTCTTGCTGGAGCAAACCAGATCCTGGGAAGATCTCGGACATGTGTTGGGCACTGGGGTGGTTAGCATGGGCAGCCATTAGCGAAACCTGAATACACACCTGTGCAGAGGAGTCACTGGATCCAGAGTGTTTGATACAAATAGCATAGGGTGAGCGGTAGTAGCGCCCCACGGCCCTGAGATAGGTCAGTTTCGAACGCATAGAGGTCAAAATAGAACATACCTGCGAATGGGTACTTGGCCTTGGCTTTCCATCCAACACAGCTCAATTGCAATTGCGCCCAATAATCACCCAGAGATGCACTGTCGGCTAGAAGGCTAGACCATTCTGCCTGGAACTGCTTAATATCCGGAGTCGTCAAATATTCGGCATCCGAGCACATAATAGCAGCCATGGCATAGAGCATGTTATCCTGTGATGTAGCACATTCTGGCGACCAAGGTCCAGCAAGACTGCATTTGTTGGACGGACATGCACCGAAGTGGCTACCATGCTTGAAGTCAGCCATGGGAACAGCATTCCCCTTGCCCAGCTCGGTCATTCTGTTTGCTAAGACGGGGAATGCGAGGAGGGGCTGGTAGATGGCAACACGTTGAATGTCTTTGATGTCGGTCCAAGTTACAACTTCTGGTCCCCGTTCCATAGATGCCATGACAGGGATTGAGCTGTTGAGAATCTGCTGCTCAAGCTTCCAGTAGGCTGCCCTGATGGCGTCTGGACCGCCCTCCACATAAAAGGGACATCCCACGGGTCCAGCCTCATTACAGTACTGGCCAAATCGATCAAAGATGGCATCTGCGTCAGCAACAACGTTCGGTCCTGTTCCTTGGTAGTACTTAACCATATCGACTACACCATCGAGAACAACTCGTGTGACTCGCTCCGGGAAGAGAGAGGCAAAGGTGGTGCCCAGCAGGGTACCGTATGAGCGACCCCAATATAGAAGTGGCTCCTTCCCGCGGTGCCATTTAGTCCGCTTCAAGATTGCGTTTGCTTCATCCAGTCCCCGACACTTGTTGTGAGCTACCTGGGCTCTTTGGCCCTCCTTCTCGCGCCACTCTCCATGGCGTTCGATAATGGCCAGCATGTCCTGTGCGACGAGTGGTGTATTGACATAGGACATCATTGGCTCATCGGCTCCGAGACTCGACATATCGAATACTGAACAGCCTAGGTTCAGCGCTTGGGTCCGCTGCCAGTTTCTCTGCAGGGAATCCGGTCCACTTCCTAGCATGCCTTCCGCGGAGACTTGCAACTCCCAATTCCTTTGGGATACGGGGTCAGGAAAACACATCACGGGAGGCGTTGTAGATCCTACCCCACGGGGATCAAATCCGATAATATCAAAATATTTGCTGACAGACTCTTCTCCAGTCTCTTTTGGGTCAGCCTCCGCATCGATGATCAACTGGAGATCACGACCCGCCACGAACGCTTGCATTGTTCCCGGTCCACCAGGTCCACCTGTGATATGAGCTTAGATCATCATATCAGGTGCAGATCCACTCACCCGGATTGATCAGAACCGCGCCTCCATATCGCGGGTCTGTGACTGGGACCTTGGCTGGCAGTCGGACAACAGCGAGGGCAAATGTGCGACCTTTTCCGTCCGTCCGTTGGTAGTCCATAGGCACTTCCAGTCTTGCGCATTGGAACTCATCCCCACAATTGTGATACTTCAGCTCCTGGGAAGGAACGATTTTGTCCCAGGTGACTGGAGTGTCCAAAGGCTCGACCACCTTCCATGGAGGTAATGGAATAGGCCAGACTAAGAGAATCAACACGGCAGCAGCCAAGGGCAATCCCCAACGAACGTATCGATGGGGTGCCTGGCGTACCTGGCGTACCTGGCGTACCTGGCAAGGCGGTAACGGCGCGGATTTTACCATCTCGCGTCCAAAACAAAACAGAGACAGCCCAAATCCGACACAGGGCAATTTTTCAAAAACGTCTGAATCCCAAATGGCCAGAGGCCCAGAATATAAAAAGGAGAGAAAGTCAGGAATTTGACAAGTCAATGGGTCCAATACCGTCGGACCCGCCAAGTGGGGGGTTTCCCCTTTAGACCTATAAACATCCCGATCATCGATATCATCGATATACCTTGCATCCTACTGGGTGTTGATCTATCTCGAACTGAATACAATGTGATTCGTTCAGATATATATATATATATATATATAAAAAGAAAAAGAAAAAAAGATAAGTGCTGAGCAATAGGAGAACGCTGACGGGTCAGTGCACCTGCATATCTCCAGGGTCCAGTAGCCAAATATCTTTCTGGTGCAAGAGGTAAGTCCTCCAATCAGATTGCAAAGCAACCTGGCACGAATATTGGAAATTAAACTACCACAGGGAATCATGCAGATCGGATTCTGAAGCTGCCAAAAGGTTGCATGTACACTATTCACATTATCACAGTATCGCAAGGCAGATATGCGGAGAACCTTAGTCCGTGAGGGAATACAGAACACCAGGCAACTGCCGCAGTTGACATAGCCACTTAGGTTCAATCCCCAACTGCAGCAAACAGATTTAATGCGATGGGAGTACAGAGTACATGGCTCCACAAAATGACAAACAAACAAGAGCCTCATCTACATAAAAGGGAGAAAAGACCTCTTCTCCCCGGGCATCTTGGAAATTATACACCATGGCTTCCAAACTGCAAGACCACATCGATGCCCTGCACACCCTTCCACTGGCCGAGGCTATTCCAGCAATCGCCGACCTGACACCAGGCCTCACAAGCGTTGTCCCTCAGGAATACGGCTACTTTGTCCAACACCCCGACTACGAAGGGATCGGCAATCTCAACAACGTCGGCGGCCTGTGGCTGAAACTCGGATCGCAATGTTACGACGACCATGCCTCCCTCGAAGTGCGCCTTGTCCACACTTCCCTGGACGATCTGATATACGACGTTTATTGCACGAGCTATGATATGTTGAGTAAAGGGCTCGCTGATGGGACCGTGGCACCTCCCGCCCCCAATGAGAATCCCGGTTACTGCGCCTGCTGTAGCGGTGAGCCCGACGCCACCATCTTGGCTTGTTTTCATGAGCGGCAGGCGTTGTGGTTTACCAAGGAGGAATACAGTGCGCTCTGGGGGGATGAACCGAATTCGGGGGAGAGGTTTGGTAATGGAAATGGCTGGGTGAAGCATAGTATCAATGCGAGCAAGGAGCAGCTTGAGGAGGCTCTGGCCAGGAACCCGGCTGTTGGTATTCCAAGTTTGCTTTAGCAGATCTAGTGTTAAAAACTACACATGGAGGAAAGATCGCAGCTGATCACGGTGGATATCGGAGAGATGGTTCATTAATGAAAAATGAAGAAAATCATTACGAATGCCTTGTTGTAAATATTTCGTAACGCCTTGGTATGTACACGGAAAAGTCAAGAAGATTGACTGCACGGAGTATTCCTCCATTGAATAGCAAGAAACCCACCTCCCTTCGATCTATCCCCGTGTGCAGATGTAAATAAAGATGTCAGTTTCATCGGAGCTTCGCCTCGAAGCGGAGCTCTCTCAACTAAGTCGAACTGTTTTAGTCGCTGCGAGGTCGCTTTCGAGGGTTGATAACCCGGCGACCCAGAGACTCGGCGCGGCTGCCGATGGAATCCTCGACCCGTTGGAGATATTCGACAAACTCATAATAGTTATCGAAGTCAAGATGGGTCTTATCGGCCTCGTTGCGAACCCTGTTCATCAGATGCTCAAAGAGATGGCGCATGCGATCACGCTCGGAGTCATTATTCGGGAAATGCGGCACCCACTGCTGCATCCAATTGGAGAAATCAGTCACGGACTGGGCCGGTCGCTGATAACTATCCATATAGCGCGACCTGGCAACATCCGGGTAGACTCCGTTCTGGAGCTGGTGAATAAGGAAAGTACAGAAACTGGCGTAGGTGACCTTGTCGGCGGGTAGGTGACGTATGTGTCGCTTCCACTCATCCTCGATATTAAGGGCAACGTGCTTAAGCGCCCGCGTGACCTTGCGCTCGTCGATATTGTACCACTCCGGATATTTATCGAAGTGTCGCTCTAGACTCATAGAGAAGTTCTTGAACTCTCCCAGAGCCCGTCCGTTGTATACCGGCACATTGGGCACCGGTGGGGCATGGACAGATGTTTCGGGATGAAAGGATCGGGCGGAAGGTTGCAGACTGGATCGGGATTCAGTCTTGACAACTGTTTGTGCGGCGGGGGACCTGGTAGCTGCTGCAAGGGCTCGCAATTGCTCGAGGTTCAAACCGGACACGAGGTTGTTTGCGGGTTTAGGGGAAGGCTTAGGTTCGGTTGGCTTGGCCTCGGACGGGCGACGAGCAGCAGCTTTGGTCAGAGGTGCTGGGGTAGTAATCTGCTCAGATCGGGCAGCAACGGGATCCTTTTGGGCTCCATCAATACCAGCCTTGCTATTCTGCTTCGTCTCGCCTCTGGATGGAGTGGAAGCGGGGGTGGCAGGGGGAAGCTCCAGGGAAGTCGCGGCCAGAAGTCGACTGCGAGCCAGTTCCAATTCTCTCTCCTCCTCTGCAACCTTTTGTTTGATGTCAATGAGCTCACGCTGCTTCTTCAGTCGGGACAATTGAGCCTGTGCTTGACGAATTTCCGCCTCCAGATCTTCGGCAGAGCCGACAGGCTCTGTAGGCTCGGGGTCGGTGTTTTGAAACATCTCATTCAGACTGTCCCATCGCTCTTGAATTCGATGAATGTTGGATTCAGAGCCAGGTTTGTTGTCTGGCTCTGGCATGGTAGTTTTTTTAATCCTTGCGCGTTGTAGATAAGATAATGTACGGAGAAAGGAAGTTCCGATTCCGTGAAGAAAGTCCTCGTGCCTAAGGCAGAAACTGGTTTCAAAGATGAACTATGTCAAGAGTGATGATTGGCAGTTTCAGAGGTTCAGAGGTTTCTTGGGGATTTTGGTTAATGGATTCTCGAGAGTGTTCGGAGTGGTGGTCAAGATGAGTTGGGCCCAAACGTCTACTTGCTCTCACTGTCTCACCTCCTAGGTAAGTGCTTCCCAATCTGTTACAGGCAAACATAGGATACGCGATCTATCACTTTGACATTAAAGTCAGAATATTCCCAAATTTAAAGGGTACGTAGCTAATAAATATATCATGGACTTCGCCTAGGCAAATTAATAGTGCAGCTTAAGCGAACAGAGTGTCGAGGTTCATCAACCAGGACATCTCGAGTATTGATATCAAAAGTTCAGTTAGGATGAACAAAGAGCATTAGTTTAGATCATTATTACTCCTCTTCTCCTTTCTAGATAATTCGAAAAAAAAGTGTTGCCAATCCCTCTATGGGCACGCGACTGACCTTTTGCATGGTAGATATTTCGTTTATCAGATTTATGGTTGATTTTTTTATATTTTTTATAATGCTATGCTCGCACGAGCCATTGGAGCAGTATTCGCAATTTGATCCATAAAGAAAAACCGAGTCCCTCAAGACACTACAATTTAACTTAATTCATACAGCCTATACGGAATACTATGTGAGATATAGAAGCCACGAGGAAGCTAAAGCAAACACGGCGAATGACAGGATAAGATATCATCCATTCAAAGATTAGTCATTATGTACAGCAAAATTAATGGGTTAGGGCGACCTTGAGCTCTTTATTTACCTGGTGACCCAAGCAAACACACGAACTTCTTCTCAGGGGTCGCGGTCAACACGTTCCTGACCAAGTGCCAGACGTTCAAATCATAGGCCTCGCCAATGTGGCCAACGGGATCCAGCGGGCAAGTGTCCTGAATCCAGCGATTCGTCACGCCCTCCTCGTGGACGAACGATGTCGACGGGGGAGTAACCAGCTCATCGTACTTGGACGCAATGATAGTAATACTGTTGCCAGGCTGCGCAATGGGAGTACCGTCATTCAAACGCTTGATGGCTGGGCCATCGGGACCGAGATCGTTGCAAGCAGGACAACCGAGGGTATCGAGCACTTCGCCCACGGCTGCGCGCGACTCGTTGCCGAACTTGTATGCGAGATTGTAGAGGCCGGCGAATGTAGTGGCATGGGTAGGCGGGGCGATGGATGCGATCTTGTCGATCAGGTGGGAGACGCCCTCGAACTTGGGCACGTAGAGAGATTGGAAAGCACCCTCGGAGTGGCCGACGAGGTCGACTTTGCTCTTGCCGGTCTTTTCCACGATTTCTTTGATGTATGCGGCAATCTCGGGGGCGCTCTCGTTGATCGCTTTCAAGCCGCCAAGCAATGGGAAGCCATCGTATGCACCATAGGTCCTGGCATATGTGCAGAAGCCTTGGGCTTGCAGCCAGTACTGCATGTAGTTCAAGTCCTCATAAAAAGTCGCGCCAAGACCATGCAGGAGGACAACGGGGTTGTAGGAGCTCTTGCAGGAGAAATCGTTGATTCCTGTTGCGACGGCTGTGGTAGCCGCGAAGGCAGAGAGCGCCCACTTGATGAATGAAGGCATTTTGTATGATGAATGTGTTATTCGTAACATGGGGCCCCATGCTGTTTATGAAGGAATCTGCAGGTACCCACATCTCCTATTTTTTTCTATCTCCATTGAACTATCGATTGTTGATCGATCAGATCGGTCTGTGAGTGGTCGATAGTGTCGATCTCTGGCGGAGCTAAATCGAATGCGATCTAGTTTCACCGGGAACATCCAATTAGAGCTGAAATAATAAATTAACTTGAGACTCATCATTTCAGCTTGCATTCATAATATTGTTGTGGTTTGCTTGGATTCCGGGGCATTCGTTTACTTTGGGCAATATAGCCTGGGCAATATAGCGGGAAAGCCGCGGAGCATAGCCCCTGTACTATGAGGAGCTGAACAACGATGCCATTATTAGAACTTCCTGAACAATGTCAATATATGCCCATGTGAGCATTGGGATTCATTTAACCGACAGCTGCGCGTCAGCACAACACCTATCGTGTCCGAATAGCTGGATCACAAAACCCAATAATTAAAATCGTCCGCGAGGAACATCACGTCTATATGGAATACTTGCGTCCATACTACGAACTACCCGTGTTCAATGGCGAGGATTCCCTTGTAGATAACTCCGGCATGGAGCTGCCCCAAAGTCCAAGAGCATGCCGCTTCTCAACTAGTTGAAACACCTCAACCATAAAGCGGCGCTCTGGGCCTCCGTCTGGGAATGCTTCCCATGCTACTCGAGTGGGGAATGCAAGACGATTGATCATGTTGCCCGGCGCGGTGAGGATATAAAATTCCAGCGAGCGGCAGATCCCGCAACCCAAGTCGTATTGTTCCATGGGCGAGACGCGATCATCTGGCCGAGTGTCGACCGAGGACAGAACCAATCGCACGGCATAGTAGACACACATGGTTTGTGCGAGTAGCAGGTTTGGATATGTGAATCTGGTTGGGGTAAAAGTAGCCCCGGTGCGGAGGTCGCGGCGTTGGAAAATTGGGAACCCCTGGTCGCCGTATTGTTCGGCTTCTTGCGGTGGCCCATCAGGGTATGCGACAACCCAGTCTTCGTACCATTTATAGAAACTGGCTGTAAGCTCGCGTATTCCGTTCCAAAGCGTAGACTGTTTGACAGCCATCTCTTGTGCGCCCATGACAGATGTAATTTGTGCTTCTTTGAAGGCATCGGATGCCGCCAGGAAACCTGGTACCGAGGTTGCTAGGTCAAGAAGATGGTGTAGAATGTCTTTTTGAGTCGTTCCTGCTGACCACGGAATGGTCTTCCAGTCTTCACGGGCCAGGAATGAGGGTTTTCGAGCTGCCAGAGCGGCGCCAATCTAAGCCGTTAGAGTGAGAGGATAAAATTACGGAAGGCCTGTTATCTTACCCAATATGGACGGAGTTCTGTAAATAAAAGATGTTCAACCCCATACATGTGATTTTCTGGCCCACGATGTTCGATCAGGCGCACTGCTCCTCGGACGTGAGCCGAGACACCACTCTGTGTAGTGCGTTCAACGCTCTGCTGGGGTTAGTATTGGCTGGAAAGAACATGTGTTCTGTGAAACGAACCTCGAAGGCTAGCAAGAGAGTCACGGTCACCAGTGTGGATTCTGCTTTGCTTTTTTCAGGATCCACCAGCGCGTCCTGCAATGCACGCAGCACGCGGGGATAAAGTCGGAAACCGGATGCTTCGATCTGCTTGTTCTGCACAGAACGACCAAAGAATGCCACCGAGACGGCCTCGAACGCGTCTGTGATGAGCGGTGAGAACATTCGAATCCCGGCAGCAGCTCGCAATGCACCTGCTTTGCCCGATTTCATATCCACTTCGGGGCTAAATGCATCCACAAATCTCTCGACAAACACATCTACCGCGGGTCTTTGCATGCTCATAACCGAGATCGTGCCAGACGAGTCGGACCCACTGCTCAGCGACATGCGCTCAAAGTCACTGTCATCATCATCCTCACCTTGCAAATTATTGAAGTCTTCAACCGGGGAATTGATTAAGAGGCGATTCCGGACCGGCAGAGTTGACGAAGAGGGCGAAGGATAATCGTAGGATTCATATGCTGGGACTGTCAGAATGGGTAACCCTTTATGCAATGGCTATACCACCTACCTTCGGTGCCTTCCCATGGTCCAACAGGGACCAAATCCTTCCTAAGGCCGACATGGGCGGTCCGAATATCGCGAACGAGGTCATCGACTAATGGGCTTGGTGCAGAGCGAATGGACTCAAATAAGCTCTCGAGCCGGTCTAGGCGCTGGAGATCCTGGACCCCAGATCCTGCACGGACATCAGCAATTGTTCCACATCCACAAGAGTTTGGCACACGCCACAGAAAAGAGTGGGCGGGGCCCCCAAACATACCATCTTGTTTATCGTCTATTCTTCCCCGAAGGTCTCGGATCTCCGCCCGTAGGTTCCGAATCTCCTCCGCCTGGCTGATGGGGTGGGCTTCTTCGTCGGGGACGTGCTCATACACGCATTTGGAGGGGTAGCCATGAGCACAGCAGGCGTGGCAGGGCTTGACTCGATCACACTGACAGCGGGATCCACGTTAGCCTTGCGGGTGATGCGTTACGACCAGTGGGACGCATCAGATGGGTACGGGAGCGTTCCGACCCCCAAGCGCGATCTGAGCACGATGACGGGGATGACGGACCTTGACTTTCCGGAGCCGGCAGACTTTACAGGACCGCGACTGACGGTTCGGGGCCTTCCTGACTCGAGAGTCGGGGACAAATTGTTGCGTACCACCGACCATGGTGGCAAAGGTAGCTCAAAGGGGGGGGGAAGAAGGGAAGGGTGCCTCATCCCGAGCCAACGACACGGCAGGATTTAGGCGAGCCAGATTTCCGATGTGGGAGTCCGAGATCTGCCTACTTCAGGGGTGGGCCGTCTTGCTCTCAGATAACCTTGGCACTGGTTAGTTCGATATTAGTCGACGCCTCGGGATGGTGTGATAGGTTCATGGATGTTAGTAGGTGGAGTGACTCCGCCACTCTGACTAGGCCTGGATTAAGTGGTTTTGATTGGATATGTTGAGATTGCTCTGCAGGACAGGACACTGCCATGGATTGAACAAGTCGGGATGAGGTTAGTCGAAATGGATAACTGAACAGCTCAATATTATAAATTGTTGGGTGTACGGAGTATAAAAATTCTCAGTAGATGCAAAGTGGTATAGAATTCACAACCTTGACCACTTGGATTGGATGGGTGTCACGTGTATCGGCCTCTGCATTTCGTATCTCCCAACTCCTTCCGACCTTCTACATTCCATACTCTTTCACTAGCATCTCAATAGATGCTGCTTATTGTTGAATATGTCTATCACTATATTAAACGACTCACTAAATGCACACTTCTTTGCCTCTCTGTAGGCTAATTATCGAGGAGGTATTTTCGGTGTACTCAGCGAACATCCTGAATGATGTCAAAAAAGACATCCCGGAAGAGATGAATACTATACTCCTGTCAATTGGACTTTGTCCAGTATTTCAAGGTTCAATCTCCAGTCACGCTCTCAATATATCCAAATCGGGGACAAATTAATACTTAGATACTACACGGAGAAAAAGAAAATCAGGAATGAAAGCCGCCATATACTATAGGTATAGGTGCTCCACGTGGAGATACAAATCCTGCAGTCTCCAAGCCAGGCAAGGAGTATTAGATGCCTGCAAAATGACACATATAGCACTCATTATGCTCCTCACCATCCCAGATGAAGCTTGCCTTGGCTTGATTGTGGGCGCCCTTCGCACACCACTTCCAGTCCCGAATGCACAACAAACAGATGTGAAGTCCTGCCATGGGCCATGGGCGCAGCTTCTCACAATGCAGACAGCCAAAGAATTCAGGGAGCTGGTTCGTGCCTGCGCCGATTTCGCTTTGCTGCTCGGATTCGGGTCCACTCGAAAGTGACTCTAGGTCTTCATCTTTGACCTGCTGGATGCCATCTTGTGCAGACTTTGCGTCTTCCGCTGGTCTGTTTAAGGTCTCCGTCACATTCTTAGAGACAGTGGTGGTTGAGATGGTGATGACAGTGGTAGTTGTTGTGCTTTGCGCAGAACTTTCGACAACGGGCGGTGCAACTGTGACTCGACTGTGGTGGCCAGAATCTGCGTGCATACAGTTCGGTTGCTCAGGCATGGGGGTAGTTTGTGCGGCACTGGTGGCTTCCGAGGTAACTCGCGTCTCTGAGTTGGTGAGGTCGATGCTAGTTTGGGGTGCTGGCTCGGAAAGATAATACGGCCAAGCTCGTCCCCTGTTTGCGTGCGCCCTTTTAACTCGCGATCTCTGTGTCCTTTTAGTCTGGACCCGATACGTGAGCGTACTCTTTTGCCCATCTGGACAAGTGGTATACGCACATTTCGGTACTTTGTGCGGCAAGGCTCACACATTTTGTAAAAGTCCTTCCCTGCACCTTCAGGCGCCCGAAACGCATCGTTCGGCTTCTCTTTCCTACAGATTCGACACCACCTAGTTTCTTCAGCCATGATTGGATTCTGCGGTAATGTGTCAGAGTAAAGAAATCATAGGCTTGTGGGGGGAGGGAAAGGAAGGTGGTGTTGAGCCACAGATAGGTAAGTTCTGAAGCAGGATTGAGAGTAAACAGAGGTGGTTCAAGCAAAGAGAGGGGCCGTTAGCAAAGAACAACTGGTCTTGTAATTGAACTGGTAGATGTAGATATATATATATAGGTACGGAATTCGTCCGTTATGTGTTGCACACAGATTGAGAAGCATAGACAAGGAAAATGGTAATATTGTGTCGCTATATGCCCGCAGCACAGGAACCTGCCATTCAGGCGCTGCCTTAGCTTAACATATGTGTACTGTTCAAAAGTAGCGTCGAAGTAACGCCTAAGTACATTCAAGTACATCTAAATATCGTCAAAATCACGCTTAAGTGTCTACGTCGCACCTTATTAAGTCCAAACAGCCATCCAAATAATTAAACGTTGATGGAATAAATTCGATCCTCAACGTTCACATGTCATTAATCAACTGAAAACAAACACTTTTTGCAACATTTCCTTTCTTACTAGCGCGTTCCATCTCACAAAGCGCTTGGTCGAGAGATTCCATATCCCACTCATTCGGATTCGATGTTTGATTTGCGGTGATTTCTTCATGCTCCCATGGCTCATCGGCGCCCGGTAGGATCGGTAGTCTGGGTAATTTTGCGGTTTCGATCATGTCGACTCTCTGGAGAAGATCATCATGCACCACACTGGAAACCACTTTTTGCATTGTGATGCCGGCAATGACATGGCGTAGATCGGGCTCGGCTGCGTGGGCCTCTTTTCGGATCTTCTTTAGTGAGAGTTCGTAGAGTCGATATGGTAGAACTTCGGAGTCAATGGTAGGATTGTGACTTGGGGCTGGAGTGCCAACGAGTGTGACGCGAGAACTTTGTAGTTGGCGTTGTCGCCTCACTTGAGGGATGTTTCTGGTGAACAGTCTGGTACATTGTGCTGCGGACATTCTTGAAGATGGAGATCTCAATTGATGTAGATCTTGAATTCTGGGGGGAGGGGTTTGTTTGTGGAGAGAAATAGGATAGATATATGCTAGCTACTGAAGAACTATGATTCACAAATGAAATGAACTACAACGTCACCTGGTTTGTTAATCATGCCACTCTGAAGGGAAGAGGGAATCGGGATGTTTGGCGGCACGGGATATTGTTGGGGTTGGGTGGCGAGGTTATCATGCCACTGATCTGCATCTCACTCAACATATCTGACCCTGGACCGTGGTGTTTGTTAAATAGAGACCAATTGCTAGATTTGCAATTGAAGAAAATTAAGATATGGTATGAGTTTTCTATGGAGAAAGGTATAAGCCAATATACATATCGGGTAGTGACACCGCAGACACCAATTGCGTATCTATACATAGACTACGACAAGGAAGAACGTTGAAATATACGAACCTATATTAACATAATCTGAAAGTGACTCATTTCTCTACATATAAATTACTGATAGAAACTCACCTATATTCGTTAATGCTAAGTCAATGCCATCCATGTGATCTCGGAAAGGAAGCCGATGGTGGGAATATCGCAAAGAAGTCCTGGAATTAAGGATAAGCAATATTAATTAGACCCATTGAAGCCACTGGAGATGTGAGATACCCAATTCTCCAATTAACAACGAATTGAAATATCTATCCTGTGGTTCGCGGCCACAGCTTTCCCCATGTTAAAACGTCGGAAGGCGATGCCGATGTATACAACCTACTTGGAATGTTCTACCCCACCATGAAATCATGGAGACTAATGCAAGCCCTTATCGTAATGAGTCACCTCCACATTGAATTCTGGAGATTCTGTTGATTCTGTAAAATTGAAAGAGATTGCTTTTTGATTTTCGCTCCCATTGCAGATTTCAACTCTCATCTCAGTATAGATGATATAGAGACTCAAGAATACCATTATGCAAAAGACGACCATCCAAGAACCAGTGCAAGAGCCATGGCAATCAACCTCGACCAGTGTGGCTGAATATCTCACTAGTTATCCCACTGGTCACAACTCAAACTTCGACGAAGAAGCTCCCCAATCGGCTTTTTCCGTCGTCGAACCACCAGCCGAGCTATCCACACTCACAACTCATCTGACTGGTCATAGCACTGAGGACACATTCCCAGATGGAGGCCTGCAAGCATGGTGTGTTGTGGCGGGTTCATTCTGTCTCTTGATGGGTACATTCGGTATGATGAACACGACAGGAATTCTGCAGAATTACTTCGCTACTCATCAGCTGGCCAGTTATTCGCCTAGTGCGGTCGGCTGGATCCCGGGCCTGTTCACCTTCTTTGGTCTGAGTATTTCCGTCCAGGTCGGGCCGATGTTTGATCGATATGGTCCCAGGGGCATCCTTATAGCTGGCACTATATGCTATGTAACTGGCTTTATTCTACTCGCCGAAAGCCATCTTTACTGGCACTTTGTTCTTACACTTGGTGTTCTTTCTGGAACTGGCGCTGCGCTCTTGAGCACAGTTGCGTTGGCCAGTGTGCCTCAATGGTTCGATCGAAAGGCAGCCCTTGCAATTGGGATTTCGATGTCGGGTGCGGGACTTGGCGGAGTGATATTTCCGTTTGTGCTCAGAGCTGGATTCACTAACCTTGGATATAAATGGACAATTCGATTGATGGCATTGCTGGTGTTGCTATTGGGTGTGCTTGGAACAGTTCTGGTGAAGGCACGCCTTCCGAAGGGCAGAAGCAAATCAACTATCAACTTGCGTTCCTTGCAAGATGCGAGGTTCACCTGGCTGACATTTGGCATATTTGGTGAGCTGATCTCGGTCGAGAATCCAGATGGTAAAAGAAAAGAAAAGCTGACTTGGGACAGCCCTTGAGCTCGAGGTTTTTGCCGGTCTAGGTCTGTATCCAACCTACGTGATCATGCAAGGTTTTTCTACCAACACTAGCGTTGTTCTGCTTGCGGTTCAGAACGTGTAAGTGGTATTTTGATGATATCCCAGGCCAAGCACTGACTAGTCTGGCATAGAGCCTCCACGATAGGCCGGCTGGTGGCTGGAGGCGTTGCCGATCGGTTTGGCCGAATAAACACCCAAACCGGACTCATTGCACTGGGTGCGTTCGCGGTGTTTGTAATTTGGCTGCCGTTTGGTAACTCACTGGCGGGGCTTTATGTGTTCTCGGTCATCTTTGGGTTGGCTTCAGGATCATTCCTGAGTCTTGCGCCAGCCTGCATCGGGCAGATCTCCCGGGCGAGCGAGGTTGGTGGAAGATTCGGCCTGACATATTCCATTGTCAGCTTCGCGTAAGACATTCAAATCCAGTTTGGTAGTTCATCACTAATGTAAACTTAAGTACACTGATCTGCATCCCCATTGGCGGTGAGATGCTCGACAAAGTCGGGAAGAGAGCCATGGTGGCATATTTGGGAAGCGTTCTGATAGTATCACTTGGTTTGTTCGTGATGGCCCGATGGGCCTGTTTGAGCTACCGGTGGAGGTGGCAGGCAAAGATTTAGAAGAGACCAGAGGAGAATCCTGTGGTTAAAAGTCGATGTTGCATTCCAACTCATAATAATGCTATGACAGAATATTGCGTACACATATTGGTAAAGTCTCGTGATACCTTTGTTAGTTGAAAGTCGAGTTGATTGTAATGCGTATGTCGATACCTCGGGTGAACTCGAGTCTATGACCATCAACGCCATTCAGGAGATGCTTGCAACGAAGTCACCCAACTAATTTTGTTCGCCCCCCTGAGACCTGGTATACTCATCGCTGTAATCCGTCAGTGTTGGCTTCATGGGGAAGATCCAGGATCCCTACAGGTGCTTGTCGAGTTCATTCATATGCTTGCGCTGCTCCTTGAGCTTGTGTTTGAGACGCTCAAGCCTGCCACCGGGTAAGTTTATATCTTGAAATTCAGTCGATGCAGTTGAACTCACTTCTCCATTTCTATTTGTCGAATGTACATGCCTTCGTGTGCTGCCTCGCGTTTGGCGAAAGAGTCCTTCCTGCCGATGGTCAGGTATGACGTCATCCATTTTGGAGTGTGCCACCTACTCGGCCATGAAGCCCGACTTTGTCGAACCTATATCACCTGCACCCATGATCCTTGGGGTGGTAGATAGAGATCGCAGAATAGTTGGATTGGTGGTGATACGGAGAATTGGTCGTGAAGTTGCTGATTGCATAGTGTGGGAGTTGGTGAGTTTATGCTGATCGAATAGGGATGTTGATCTTGAGCTGTCTGTCGATCACACTGTGTACGGTACTTTACTTGGAGTCAGGTTCAAATAGTGGATTGGGAGTAATTTTAGAGATTAATAGGAGAGTAGGTGATGCAGTTCAAATTATTTAAATGTCAATGACTTCAGAGGCATGTCAGGTGACACACCATATGGGTTAATGCGGTAATCCATGATTGGACAATATCATCAGTTTATGTACATGATATGTAGGTATGATAGGAAGTCCTACCACTCGGACTCCATTCCCCCTTGCCATGTCCTGATCGAGGTTGCTACACCTGGTCATAATGGGCTTTTGTCCCATAGTTGGTACTACCCTATTCCAATATATATACCAGGCGAAAACCTCTCGAATTAAGGAACAGAGCTATCAGATCAAATAGATGAAATTTGCTAGAATCCTTCTACAATACATAACGGAATCCCTTCTGCAGCCGTCTAGCAGCCGCAATATCAATCCCTTCAATATTAGCTGTAGCCTGTAGCCGGCGAATATCCTTTTCAGAAAGCTGCACTTCCTCATTCTCCATACGCTCCTGGCGTTTGTTGAGCATGCGCAAGTTGAAGTATAAAAAGAGGGCGGAAAGACCACCAACTAGTTGTAGTGCAATGCAAACACCCATAGCCGTGGGGTAGTGAGGTTTCTCTGTTTCGAAATACGTGTAGGGGGTCCAGATCGAAGCGCTGTTTCCAATAGAGTTGAAAAATGCAAAGGCTGTTTTGATTAGCTTGGTGGCCGATGGAAGAAACATAAGGGAATATGACTTACCGACAGCACGCTTGGCAGGTGGGCGAGGAATCGAGCTCGCGAGCCAGGAATACAGAGTTCCATTCTGGGCGAAGACAAAGACCATCAAGAAGAACGAGAAGTATCGTGCTCCAAAAGAGTCGGTTTTCATAAAGATCACAAATCCAATAATGGTGATCGGGATCGGGTAGATGAAGAACCAGAATCTCTTCTCCAATCTATCAGAAGCCATAGAGTGGCAAAGAGAATATACAACCATAAACAGATATGGGGGTGCCACCAGCACTAGCGTGATGGTTTCGGACAAGTTGAGAGTCTTTACCAATGTCGGGAAGAAGTTCTGGAAACCCGCCGCTCCGGTGATGCACATGTATGCCAAGGCGAATACATAGGTTTTGACGTCGGTCATGGCGAGCTTGAATCCCTCTAACTGGCTTCTGCCACCTCCTTCATCCACATCAGCTTGACCGGCCTCAATGGCAAGACGTCGCTGGGCAACTTTGCGCATCTCCGGGGATAACATCTTCCATGTTTCTGGGAAGTCGGGTAGAATGAAGCAAATGGCCAGTCCGATGGCACAGGTGATGGAACCTTCAATAATATAAAGCCATTGCCATGCCGATAGTCCTCGGTGGCCTTTCAGACCGTTGAGAATACCCGCGGCGATGAGGTTTCCGAAAGCACCACTCAGCAGGGAGCCGGAGTAGAAAATACTCATTCGGAAAGCCAATTCCTGCTTTGTGTACCATTTCGACAGATAGAAGAGAATGGCGCAGAAGAAGGGTGCTTCGACCAAACCAAGAATGAATCGGCAGGCCACAATACCTCCATAGGATGTGACTTGACTTGTCACTGCCGATACCAACCCCCAAGCGCAGACGAAGAACCCAATGTACCAGGATGGTCGACCCATGTAGTTCAGAAGCATGTTGGAAGGGACCTGCATGAGAATGTATCCAACGAAGAGAATGGAGAGACCGGTTTGGTATTTTGTATCATCGAGGTTGAGATCCTCTTCGAGACCTTGGAGCTTCGCTGCGGCATAATTGTTGCTGGTTCCATTAGCATTAAGCGACTGTTATGGATGGGGCAAACGTACCGATCGATATAATTCATTAGGTAGACCAGAATCGCCAGTGGCATAATCAGGGCATCGATGCGTTTACGCAATTTCTTCTCGATAAGCTTCTCTTCCTCGGTCAACTCTGCCATATGGACAACCTCCTCATGGCTCAAGTCTATCTTCATTCCCAACTCCGCCTCGGTGATGGCATTTTCGGTTCCGACCATGGTTGCTCACTTGATCAGATGGAAAATAGTGAAAACAGGGACAATGTCCCGGGACCGACACTGATTTATGTGCGGGGAGCGGCATGGACCATGTCATGTTACTTTCTGAAGATCGCATTTACCCCGTGAATCTTGAATTCTGGAGAAACGTGGGGGAGGGTCCAATCATTTTGCGGGGAAATTCAAATGCGGAAATTGTACAAGCAGATCCGGTAGTATGACGGCGTTGACGATGTTTTGATAGGCGGTGACCCCCACGGTGGAGACACAGCCTGATCATCAGCAGAGAGGAGGAATAGCGGGAATATCCTCAGAAAGTCCCTACCCCAACCTTTTTCGCCAAGACGGGCTCTCAGGGCTCCCCATCTTTGACCTGTTCTTCTCGGGTCGGACAAAGTCCGACAAAGTCTGTGACGTGAGCTGCATCAACGTCAACATTATTCCTTGAATTTATCCTGGAGACTTGTGATAGGTGGCTCGGCCCTGGAAATCCAGTTTAGGCAATTCCGTAGGACATATCATCGTCTATCGGAGACAATCCGCGTCACGTGGTAAGGAGAGTATCTCAACCCCCCCCCCCCCCCCCCCCCAAAAGCCAATCCCCGGATCCACCAGCCTTTGTCATTTTTCTTTTCTTTCAAGAATAATTCCACACAGCTCGCACTTTCTCCGTGTGGCTGGAGCTTGGCCGGTGTAACTCCTATATGACAATATTGGTACGGCTTTCCCGGTCGGCATGCCAGTGTTTTCCCTTAACCATCTATAAACCAAGGCAATAATATCAATTAATATATATTCAATCTATATGAGTAGAGATGTACATATTCTATAGCAATCTCCAGAGAAGAGAAGAGACCTGTACTCACACCTCTAGGTGATGGTATAGGGGGAAAAAAAAGCAAGTCTAGAGATTAACTTTTGCAACGTCGATAGCCCACACCACTGGACGTCCAAACTCCAATCACTGGGCCGTCTTGGATGCCTTGGTTCTCAATTTCATGAGAGCAAACACCAGCCCATACGAGCTGATCACAAACAGAGCCACAATACCGGTGTCTCTCCAACCGTAGTAGTAGTCCATCAGGTTGATACCGACAAGGTAATCGGATCCACGGGTGTATTGACACACGCGACATCCTTCGGTGGCCTCGGGATTGATGAGGTTCATACGGGTGCCGATGGTCTGCATGAACTCGCTGAGGTATTCACCGCAGGTGGATCCATTTGGTGCATCGAACTTGGCGAATTCTTGCTCTTTGCAATTGACTTCGCGATCGAACAGTCCAAAGACCAACAAGCTGCCCATTAGGTAGTTGAATGGGTTGAGCCAGTACATCCAGTATCGCCAGAAACTGACGATTTGGGCATAGGGGACCAAGACACCGCAGAAAGAGATCATGGTCTGAGAAACACGGTGTTAGCTGAGATGGTAAGAAAACCGAGACATGAAGAAAACTTACGCCGAGAATTAGAGGGTTGATCATGGCAGCCATCTGGGCGTTCGGGGCATACGCAGCGACAAATTGACCTAGGTTCATTTGTTAGTGGGGTCAATATGAAAATGGATGGTCAGCTTACCGATTCCAGTGTAGAGGAACTCGTAGAGGAAAAACACGAAGAACATGCTACCGCTCTTACTGGAATCAACCGCCATACCGGCCGTCCAATACCAGCAGTTGAAGAAGAGAGCGGCACACACAACCAGATACGGGAACTCCGAGACAATCAACGCGAAAGTGAACGCTTTCCAAGAGTACATCTTGGCCTTCTTCTCTCGTGCCTCGAATAGATCGCGACGTTCAAGGAAGGTCGGTTGCAATTGATTGATCACACCGGGAGCGACAAAGATGGCGTTGAAGACGAAGAATAATACACTCTGAAGATCCGAGACGGCGTCACCGATCTTCCAGAAACTGAATCCCACGAAGATTCCTGATGAGATGTGGAGGGCAAATTTGTTGTTAATGTAGTCAGAGTTTCGGTACAAGGCTGTTGAGGTACGTTTCAAAACCAGACTCGTCTGCTCCCAGAGGCTGGTAGCAAACTCCCGACCATCATCGGTGGTAGCTTGCGGCTTCGATGCAGCAGTCTCAATGATCTCGTCGAGTTCCTTGAGCATGGCAGTGTGTTCGGGTGACTCCAGCCAGACCTTGTTCCAATCCTTACCCTGACTCAGTTGACCAGAAACAACGTCGATCATGTGCTCAGCAGGGTTAGTCTCGGGCGGGCATGGCGCTCCGTAGCGGGAGAAATAGCCCTTAATACCCTGTGAATTTTCTCCAATGGGACCGAAGAAAACAGTCTTGCCTCCTTTGGCCAATAGAAGAAGCTGATCAAACTCAGCGAAAAGCTGTGCAGATGGTTGATGAACGGTGACTAGTACAGCCTGGCCAGCATCGGCAAGTCTGCGGAGGAACCTCACGGTGTTATACGCACTCTGGCCATCAAGACCGCTAGTGGGCTCGTCGAGGAAGATTAGAATGCTAGGCTTGGAAACGAGTTCAACTCCGATAGTGACACGCTTGCGTTGCTCGACACTCAATCCAGCTCCCACACTACCGATCATAGTATCAGCAAGATCATGTAGCTCGAGCAAGTCAATAATAACATCCACGTAAGCAAGTTTCTCTTCTCGTGGGATAGTAGCAGGTTGGCGCAATAGGGCAGAGAACTCCAAGGATTCCCGGACTGTTGCCATACGTTCGTGGATATCCAACTGCTCAACATAGCCGGCTGAGCGTTGGAACGAGACAGGCAATGGACGACCGTCAACCATAATAGAACCATTGATAGTTCCTTCGGTTTTGCGCTGAGCTAGAACATCAAGTAGAGTCGTCTTGCCAGCACCAGAGGAGCCCATCAAAGCACCAAGCATACCAGGTTTCACCCATCCGTGGACGTTATC